GCGCTACGGGTAGGGTAACGCGCTACGGGCAGGGAACGATTCGGTGGGCCCTAAAAAAAAAACGGTCCTAGATCAGGACCTGCTCTGAAACCATGTCAGAATAAAAAACGAGAATGGCTGAACTTGCAGCAAGATGGGTACAAGTAGGAAACCCTAATTGGGTTGTACCCCATATGGGCTACCCCACTATAGCCTACACAATAAGCAGCATATAAGTTTGACAGATGCTCGACGAGACCATGTGTTGACCGCAGCAGCTGTCCAGGTACCACTTGTTAACCTCCTTCTTGGCCTTGCCGAGGTTTGCGAGTTTCGGGGTTAGATGATGATCCATGTCATGGTCGTCGTCGTAAGTGTATCCTTCGTCGTCGTATGCGATGCGTGCAGGCGGCGACTCTTGGATCCATTGCGGCGCCTCCCAGTCGTACTGTATACGACCAACCGTCAGCTCGTCATAGGTAGGGTCGTTCTCCTCTTCTTCCTCGACCGAGCCTTCAGGTCTTTCTTGAGGTTGGTCTTGCCACATGTCTTCCCAGGAGCGGAAGAAGCGGTAGTGTCGGTTGGGTCGGGGAGGTCCGCGGCGCACCATGCAGGTTAACACTTTGTTCTTTCCTTTGTCGGTTGCAGAGATGCGTGCCGGTGCCTGAGAAGTATTGGCGACGGCGGGTGGGGACACGGTCTGGTTGCGCATTCCTTGCTGGTAAGGCGCTCCTCCTTGCTGCCTGTAGTTGCCGTTGTTATTGCCGTTGTTGTTGTCGTTCAGCTTCCAGCACTCCATGATCGTGTGCCCTGCCTTCTTGCAGTACTTGCAGAATAGTCTCTTTTTGTCGGGTGGTCCTTCTGCGCTTGTATAAAACGCAATCTTTTCCCATTGTTGCCTCTCTCGTTGTACAGGTCGATCTCTTGGTGTTCGGAGAGGAGCGAAGCGCAAAGCGAAGTTTCGCTGAGCGTGCCTTGGGTGCGAAGAAGCGACTTGCAGTGGCGCCAGTCCGGACTCAATCCGGCCAGGATGATGGTGACGAACATGTCGTCAGGGAAGTTGCCGCCGCTTTTCCTGAATTGATCTCTCAGATTTCTGCAGCGGTTGATGTATGGCCCAGCCTTTTCTCCGGGAAACATCTTCACATTGTTCAGCTGATTTAGCAGGCGACTAAGTGTCACCGAGTCCGTTGCCATGTGGCAGGTGCGCAGGTGTTCCCAGGATTGCTGCGCGGGTGCCCACTCGTTCTTGAAGGAGCGGATGCTGAGCTGCTCCTCGGGCGTCAGATTCCGGATAAGGACAGTGAAGGCGAGCAGCGACTCGTTGTAGTACTGGGTCTTCTCTTGAGGTGAGCCGTTGGTCGGAAAGGGTAAGGATCTTCGTAATGTGCCTGTTGTGCTTGCGCAGATCCTTGTGCTCCGCGATTGTCGAAGGTGAATGACCGCTCGGAGTGTGCTCCTTGTGGATCGGGAGGTCTGCGGGCGTAGCTGGAGCCGTCAATGCTCATCAGCTGATGGCTCTCCAAGGCGCTGATGCGTGTTATAAGCTGCTCGAGAAGTGCTGTGTCCACGGTTGTCGTCCAAGAGGCGACATTGGTGGAGGGGTGTTCTGGATTTTCTCCAGTCTCACCGCAGTCTGCACCTGGCATGATGCTTGCCCTTGAATGTTTTGGCAGGTCCTATAAGGACGCGTCACAATTGCAACACCGGAGGAGGATCGAGATCACACACCGAGCTGTGAGCATCGATCGCCTCCGAGCCACATGTGTCGCGATCGTGCTTAGGTTCCATATTTGGCGGGGTTAAAGACGTTTCGGTAAGTTTAGAATGCATACACTTGATTTAAGTGCGGTGACAGTTCGATATTGGAAGATCTATCGCCTACGCGAATTGTCTTCAGTCTTCGCGACAGACAACGAAATAGGGATACACGACAATGCGAAAAAAAACTGTATTCCCAAACACCGATCCCCTACGGGATCGGTGTTGCAATTGTGACGCGTCCTAATCCAAACTAGCTCTCATACCATGTTAGAATAAGGATCTTGGATAGGATAGGTTGCCTTAGAGATTGGTAGCGGAAGTGTTTGGTAGTGGTGGGAACCTTGTGCATAGTGAATGTAGATGACAAGATTGATTAAAAGATAAAATTACAAACAATAAATAGATCTAGCTAGCCATGTACTCTAAGGGGTACATTCCCTTATTATAGCTGTTTTACAGGCATTTCTACAGTAACCCTGACTCTTGCTCTTCTCCTGTTTATCGGTCGCTGCATGTAACAGTATAGACAGTTACGCCTGTCGCCATTCCTCGCATGTAACCGTTCGGTCCAGATGGTCAACAGTCGCGTCAGTTGACATTTACGATTGTTGACCTTCCTGCCCAGTATGGGCTGATCCGATACTGCTGCTGTTGTTGCTTCGGTAGTAGCTGGTGCTGTTACAATCATAAACGGGACTTAGCGAAGGATCGTCTCATGGTTGATCGCAGGTAGTTTGTTGCAGCGGAAGTGTTGACCTCAGGTCAGAGTGAATGTAAATGAATGAGATTATAAAAGCATGCATACATCAGGTTTATATAGGGAATACAAAGGAATGCGAAACGACCTAGACTAGCCATATACTCTAAGGGGTACATTCCCTTATTGCAGCGAAGTTCAAACCGTGCGGCGCGGGAACCCGTTTCAAACCTGTTCCCGCTCTTTTTACTTCAAATGTTTCTGCCTGCATCGGTCTTGATCTGACGGTTGCTGGTGTCGCTTCGACTCTTCTGACTTCCTCGACTTCGTACTCGGTAGAGTCGGTTCCTGCAGCGTACATGAGTGACTTCTCATTAAGTTTCATATTGTAACAGGTGCGATACAGCTGCATCTTCGGGAATGCTAGATTTAATTCCCGCTTACTCCAACATACTTAATATGCAAATTGATTATTATGGTCCTCTAATAATCCATTGCATTTGAAATAGGTTTCAATAGGTCTGGTGCCACAATATAATGTTCATGTGAATTAAATTTGTATTACATGCTTGTTTTCGCCCACTGTTCATCTTCACCTCACAACAGACAGATCAGTTGTTGATCCCCAAGTGGATCGAACTCCAACATCCCTACAAATCTATCCCTCCTCACATGCTAGATTTTGGCGGTGTTCACCATCCGTGTACACGGATGGACGTCGACTACCTGCCCGAGTGTAAAGTCCTTATGACACCAAAAGCAGGGTATTGTGGATGGGCAGTACTGGAAAACGTTCTGAGCGTCAATACGTACTGCTCATCCCTGAAGGGGTTCGACTTTCTAGTCTCCAGTTCTGGTACACTGTTCGGGCAGGTGATGGTGGGTCAGAGCGGCGAAGCAAATAAACCATTCTATAATGTACAGCATCGTGCTCAACCGCGTTTGCTGAACAGAAAGCGAACCAGGCTGACCCAAATTCATTCCTGACATGAAACGCCTCTCTTCCCCTCCATTGCACACGCCCTAACCACAATCACCCATCATCCATTGCTGTTTATCACACTCATCAAGCAGACCTAAGCCTCATGTTTAGGTGACTCCTGTCCTAACATTTTCTCGAACATAGAATCACCGCCTTTTCTGTATTTAGAGGCAAACGGATCTTCGAAGGTTCTTGTTGTTTGGCATGTGCGATCATCTAGAAGAGGATGTTAATGAGATCTTTGATCTACCACGATCAAGTTTCCATTTCGAATCGACGGTTCGAACGCGCGTGCTTGCACACTCTCTTACAAGTTAGCTCCTCCGCTTGTTTTCGACGAATGCTGCCGATATGACGGATGTGGTCATCCGTCGCCAGCTGGCATGTGTCTCCATATCATCCTCAACCCAGCGACTCCCAGGAGAAAGCGGACGACGCACCGACGAAATCTTCTATCATCTTTGCGATAGAAGCTTATCGGAAAAGCTCGGAGCTTCGAATAATAATGTTCCTGAGCCACAGGTATCTCTAGAAAGTTCGAGTACTACCTCACTTGGACAGATTTGAAGGGGTAAACGATTTTTCTTGGCGATCATTTTCTGGTGGTCTCGTTGGGTCTTCAGCTGCTGAAAGTTAGGCGAAAAAAACGACTTACTCTCCCAGTCGTTTTTCCATTCGATGGCATTTCTACAGTGTCATGACATAGTCATTGAGGCGGCTCTAAACTCAAGAGTCTCAGCGCTGCTTCCTCCCACCCACTCCCCAAGTACTACTGCCGCCAGGCGTGAGGTGCCTTGTATTCTGTGTCAATTCTCGTTCCCAAACCGTCCCTCCTCCAGTTGTGAGTCTGCATAACACATTGGTACCCACTCGGTACTGTGTGACTCACTACGCTGTGTTTCACCAAGCTCCCAGTACGCTTCCCAGCAGTTCCGAGCTCTGCTAGAGCTAGAAATTATGATCCCGCGCAGTCACTGGGCGAAGGAGTTGGTGAGAGAGCACGCGTCAAGAGTCTTGACGATGAAACGAGGCCGTGGGGATCATTATCAAGACGACTCCCATAATAGTGATGACTGCTACAGTGATGGTGCTGCCTGCACCAATGCTCGTCGCCAGCGCAGGATTTTCAGAGCCTGTGCTTCAAGCCCTGCAGCAGTAAAAGCCGACATTCCAGCAGCATCCAGCGACGAGGCGGCAAGACACGCTGCTGATGTGGCTGAAACAACATTGACGCAGAGACAAGGAGGTCCTATACTGCAAGCAGCTGACACAGCAATGACGCACCAACAAGGCGGTACTATGCAAGCAGCTGTCACAGCAATCATGCAGCGACACATCGATCTTGGAGCACAACAAGAGTCTGTGCAAGGAGGTGACACTAGAAGCAACCCAGACTTTGGGACGGAAGAACGCAGCAAGAGACTAAGTTGGGCCGACTACGTGTGGAGCAGAGAGAGGATGGGAATCACTGTGCTCTCTGCCAAGCCGGCTCAACCCGATGCTGCAGCAAATTGCCACTCTGCTCAAGCTCACAACGACTACAGTGCTGCGTCGCTGGAGCAATGTGCGTTTGAGCTAATGGAGCAATGTGCAGGCAAGCCAATAGAGGGACGGGCGAGCTTTGACGAGCCACCATTTACCCGAGCCGACGTCCCTGACCTGAACGTACCTGCATGTCGTGAGGATCCTGGCTTGGCTGCACGCTGCCAGAGCGTCGGATTCTCGCATGGAGAATTCTTTTCCAGTCCCAGGCCTGCCTACAGTGACCCTGGAGTGTGTATAGCTGAATGTGGAGGCGCTGAGCTGTGTGAGTCGATCTTGAGCAGTCTAGGTTGGAACCAGCATCCGCATCAGCAGCCGCATCAGCAGCAGGAGGAGGAGCAGCAGCAGCCGCAGCAGCAGCAGCCGCATCAGCAGCAGCAGCAGCAGCAGCAGCAGCAGCAGCAGCAGCAGCAGCAGCAGCAGCAGCAGCAGCAGCAGGAGGAGGAGGAGCATCAGCAGCCGCAGCAGCAGGAGGAGGAGGAGGATCAGCAGCAGCAGCAGCAGCAGCAGCAGCAGCAGCAGCAGCAGCAGCAGCAGCAGCAGCAGCAGCAGCAGCAGCAGGAGGAGCAACCCCAGCAAAGGCATGTGGGTTGTGAAGGCTCAAGGTGCAAAGATTGTGCGGATTTAGAGATAAGATGGATGTTGATACGAGAAATAAATTTGTACAGGGAGGGTATCATGCGGAAATTTTAGCTAAGCTTGCATAAGCAACAATGCCCAACTGCTTGCTTCCTGTATTTATATATGCTTTTGCTTCAACCCTTGCTTTCCTGTATCTATATATGAAGCTAAATATTGTACGAAAGACTTCCGCAGGAAAGCGAAGAACTCAGTAGCCGAAACAGTTTCCACGCTCAAGTACCAATTTCTCTCTTCGTTCTCACCAGGCCAGAGAAGACGCGCGCGCACGCGTGTGGGAACAATAAATCGAATCGAGCGACGCGTGTCCAAAGGAACGACACGTGGCGAAAATAATAGGGCGCGCGCATCCACCGGAGCGCGCAAAACTCTCACACGCGCGCGCAACGCAGAATATGCTCGAATCGAGTAGCTTTCACCGAACAGCGCAAAACTCCCGCTTTGCTGCCTGCTTACCTCTCATCCCCTCGATTCTGTCATTTTGATATCCATCTTTTTACGTCCGTCTTGAGATGAGAGACCTCAACAGCCCGAGCCGCAATGCAGTCCTGCTTCCGGCGCGCGCCTCGAGGGACGGGTTCGCCAGTGAAGCACCTCGAAGATTTCAGCATACCTCCAGCCAACCAGCTTAGGGTTTCTGCTACCGCGCTGTGAACATTTTTCCGCCGCTCATGCTGGCAAGAACTTCCGGATCCTATCAACCAGGCGGACCGATTTGCAATACTGTCACCATCCTTACATGGATAGAATGCACTGCACAGTCACAGCGGCGCTTCCGTTCCATCCACGTGTCAACAGCAGCGCATCGAACGTAACGCACGGAAACGCTCAACTCTTACCGCCGATCAGCCGATCGATCATGCAGCCATGAAGAGCCTCCAGCAGGTATTGCATGATGGCAGGAAGGTGTGTATGTGTCTGTACTCGTCATAAGCATGTGCGTTACAAGCACACTTGCAGCCATGAAGAACTTCCAGCAGGCCTTGCACATAGGAAGGAAGGTAACATCATTTTTTTGTGTTCGTTTTGGGCCGTCTCTCTACACTGTTATAAGCATGTACGATACTGTTTCATGTCGCTGTCATGTGCCTTGGTGCGATGCTGGTGTAGCATGCATCCATGCAGCAGGAAGGTATGTGTGTTTGTTCCTGACATGTCGTCATGTCATGCCTCTTGATGTTTCATGGCAGTGCTGTTCGGAGCACGCATGCAGAAAGGTGTCGATATACGTATACTCGTTATAAGCCTTGTGTTTACGGTGGTGAGCATGTGCGATAGTGTTTGATAGCACGTAGTCAGATGATTTTTTCATTGGGCATTACGTGATGGCAGGATGGTGTGCATGTGCCTGCCTGTGACTTGTTATAAGCCTGTACACGGTATCCCCAACTTTTCAAGGTTTGTAACTCGTTATAATACCTTATCCCCGCGTGTGCAAGGCCTGTAACTCGATACAAGCCCTTATCCAAGCACTGCAGCCGCGTCAGCGATGCGACGGTAAGCCAAGGCGTATTCTCGTTAGCTTGAAATGCATATCCATCCGTCTCCCTTTCTCCTCCTCCTCCGCCGACCCCCCATCCGCCTCATCCCCCCGATCTTCCCCGGTCCCACCGCTTATCTGCTGCTTTCCACCGCTTTCCACCCCTTGTTCAGGCGCTGCAGCTGCAGCCGCGGTGGGCCAAGGCGTACCCCTTGCCATGGAAGGGGCACTCTATAACCCTTTCTTTCATTCCCCTCGAATGGTCCTTTCATTCCCTGTGTCTTATTTCTTCAACTCATTCTCCTCCTCCGTCCCCCCAACACCCCCCCCCCATCTCCCCCCATCTTCCCCATTCTCATCGCTTATCTACCGCTTCCCACGGCTTTCCATCGCTTTCCACCCCTTGCGACCCCATATCCAGGCGTTGCAGCTACAGCCGCGGTGGGCCAAGGCGTACTCTCGCATTGCAGTGGCACATTATGGGATGAAACGGTACGTAGAGGTGAGATGAAACTGTACGTAGAGGTGAGATGAAACTGTACGTAGAGGTGAGATGAAACTGTACGTAGAAGTGAGATGAAACTGTACGTACGGGTGAGATGAAACTGTACGTACGGGTGAGATGAAACTGTACGTAGAAGTGAGATGAAACTGTACGTAGAAGTGAGATGAAACTGTACGTAGAGGTGAGATGAAACATTATGCAGAGGTGAGATGAATCAGTACCTACACAGAAGTTGACAATGCGCACTCGCGTTGCATTGGTGCATTATGGGATGAAACAGTACGTAGGGGTGAGACAAAACTGTACTTGTGAGATGAAACTGTATGGAAAAGGCTGTTGAGATTGTGCTCTTGTGTTGCAGTTGCGAATTATGGGTTGAAGCAGGATGTAGAGGTGAGATGAAACTGCACTTGTGAGATGAAAATGTATGGAGAGTGGAGTTGAAATTGTACTCTTGCATTGTAGTGGCGCATTATGGGATCAAGCAGTATGTAGAGGTGAGACGAAACATACGTAGAGGTGAGATGAAACTGTACGTAAAGGTGAGATGAAACTGTACGTAAATGTGAGATGAGACAGTACATAGAGGTGGATGAAACCGTACGTAGAGGTGAGATGAAACTATACCAGAGGTGCGATGAAACAGCACCTGATGTGAGGTGAAACAGTATCGAAAGAGGATTGGAGAAAGCAATGTGGTACTGTAGTGTTGTACTCTGGGGGATGGAACTGTATGTAGAGGTGAGATGAAAGCGTACTGGGAGGAGAGTGGAAACAGTACTGAGAGAGGTGAATGAAACTGTACAGAGAGAGGGAGTTGAAACTGCACCGGTGAGTTACAACCTTATCAAGAGAATTGAATGGTTGAAACTGTACAAATGGTTTTGGTTAAACTGCAGCCACTCCTCTCCTCCCCATTCTTGCTTGTATCCATTGCTGGCAGCAGCCGCATACGGGAAAGTGCTGAAGAGCGGTTCTCACAGCCCCGAGTGCAGGCAGGGTGGGCAAGGGGAGATCAGCTTGCACCCCTCTGCACCTCTGACCACTCCTTTCTAATACCTTCCAAACCAACTTACTCTTCTCCCGGTCGACACTCACAGCCATTGCAGGCAGCAGCATCATACGATAAGGGGGTCAAGTGTGACCCTCACAGCAAGCAAGCAAAGGGGTCACTTTACAGTAATTCCTTCTTCTCGCACCCCCTTTACCCCTTCCCCCGTGCTCCTCCGTGCCTATGAGAAGGGGCTTAATTGTGACCCTCACAGCACTGTGTGCAAGCAGACAAGGATATCAACACATATTGATCCCCTCCCGATCCCTTCTCCCATATCCCCGTGCTCCTTCTTGCAGGCATCGGCATCATACGAGAAGGGGCTTTAAGTGTGATTCTCACAGCACTGTGTGCAAGCAAGGGCTGCAACAGGTGACCAGTCGTCAGAAACGAGACGAGTTTCAGGCGATTGAGTCGAGTTTTGAGGCACCTCAAAACATGTAAGCAACCGTCACACTAACTGAATGACGTGTCAGCCAGGATTCAAATTCCATATGTGTCACTTGACGATGAGAAGGAGGGCAAGACTGGGAAGCACGCACTTTGTGGGAAAATAGCAGCATATTAATCGCCTTGTTGGAATTGTTGCCTTGTTGAACCGACCGCCACATTCTATCGTTTCCCACTTGCAGGTGCGGGAGCGGTTGCAGTAGGAGGATGAGAATCAGCCCACGACGGGGAAGCACACGTTTTGCAAGTGGAAAACAGCAGAGGGGGGCGCGAAAAGGGAGGGGAAGGGGGGAGATGCGCCGGTAAGGAGAAGAGGGAGTGGGGAGGGGTTGTAGATAGGCTTAGGGTGAATGGATGGACAGACATGGGGTAAGTGGCATGCAGGCATGGGGTGAAGGACATGCAGGAATGGAATGGGGCATGCATGCATGGGGTCATGGGAGGGCAGGCGTGGGGGATGGGAGGCATGAGTAACATGGGATAGGCTTAGGGTGAATGGATGGACAGAAATGGGGCAAGGGGCGTGCAGGCATGGGGTAAGGGACATGTAGACATGGGGTGAAGAACATGCAGGAATGGAAAGGGGCATGCATGCATGGGATAATGGGGGAGCAGGCATGGGGGATGGGAGGCATGAGTAGCATGGGATAGGCGGGAACAGGGAGGGGAGGCGGGGAGATGCATCGGTAAAGGAGGGGAAGGGGAGGGGGTGATGGGTTGGCCTAAGGTGAATGGATAGGCGGGCTGGGGGATTGGAAGCATGGGTAACATGGAATACAAGGGAGGAAAATACAAGGGAGGAAAATACAAGGGAGGAAAATACAAGGGAGGAGCTCCCCTCACCCTCTCCCCTCATTTTCCCTTCCCCTACCCCCTCGCCTCCTCTCCCCTCCACACAGGCACCAATCCTCAGCACACTCACATCTGAGCTCGATGTTATATTTCCTAGAGATTTTGTTATCTTTCCTCAGCATACATGCTGTTCATTGTGTCTCCTTGCTTCGCACCACCATCACTTCTCTCTTGGTGCTCACCACATTTACGGTACTGACAATTGTGTTCCTGTTTGTTGCAATCGTTCACACACTTGCCAACACACTCGTGACACGCGCGCCAGCACATTTTATGTTCACGCCTTTTACATCGCCACTGCCCACCGATCTCCATATGTCCTGCAGGTTGGTAAGAACTCAAAGACGGCAAGTGGAGGGCAGGGGATAATACAAAAAGGGGCTGGTTCACTGCTTTCATTCAACGAGGGTACTGAGACTGAGTATATATTAAATACAGTGAGTGTTCAACCGACTAGTGGAACCGAATTGGGTCCAAGTGGTGATGTATGCATTTAACTAATTCTATTGTTCAATTTGTGCTGTTCAAGAAGATAAGAAGTGAACGTTATTGATTTGAGCTGTAGAAACTCCAGCCATGCCCGATTCCCTTCGCCTCTCACATCTCATACACGCACCAGCCTGTACTGAATCCACCACCTTGGCCGTTGGCAGATGGTGCACTGATCGGATGGATCTCAGAAGATGACGGTCGTCACTTTTTGAAGGCCGACATCGGCAGGAACAACATACGATCCATCGGACCATGACATCTGACGGTTTGCGCAGCCATCGAAACGTGACGACCGTCAACTTTGTTGACTCAACCGGTCTGAGCATCTAAGATACACTTCCGATTGGAGAATCTGTAGTACACTGTACTACAGATTTCAGCATTCTTCGTATCTCAGTTCGGGTCATATGGCAACTTTGGGTCATCACTGTACACTTCGGGTCATGGGAGGACCAATGATATTCCAGTAGTGTAGCTAAAATGCGCCTTATTGGTCTTCCAAGAATCTCGGATGACCCCAACAGTACCATGACCCGAACTTGAGATACGCCCTATGTGTGCAAGTCTGCAATTCCTTTTCGTGGGAATGGGAACTGCCCCAATATTTGCTTCTTCGCCCTCCATTTCCGTGTCAGGATAAGGGCGCGTGTCTTTTGGTGTAGATTGACAAAGTTCGAGCCTAATACCTCTTTGTACCGTGGCGACACGTCTCTCAAACGTATCTTACCGTGTACAACCTTTCTATAAGTTCGAACTTTGGCAAAAGTTCGACCTCAAGGACACGCGCCCTAATCTCGGGATTTCCTAACTTCGGATTTCTCTTGACGAATCAGTATTAGGGTTTGCTCGTGTTAGGTCTCCAGCGCGATGTCCTATACGCTCGAAAATGGCGGTGAGGAAGCAACTTCGATTGCACGCTAGTCTAAGTAAGGACCACCACCAGTAGTCCAAGAGGACGAAACCTGATGCGTATATCATAATCCTACGGTTAATTTCGTCGCCTGCCGTCGGCTAGATTCGGCAAGCACCCCGTGACGTCCGTTGCTTCCACGTGTATCATGGTTCGCCGTTGATTAGCTGCGCCTTCCCACGTTTCGTATATAGATTCGCTCGCTAATTCTGGAGTTAAGAGGATTAGGAGGCGCAAAGTTTTTCAAACCACACAATAGCAGCCACCTCAAGCAAGCCTCATGCTGCAAGTGTTTAGTTGACGACAGCACATACACCCTGTTTCTCGCCATAGTGAACTTTGGTATACTGAATTCCCCGTTACTAGAAACTCACCCCGTACAGAAGCGTGCTATCACCTACGTTATAGTGAAATTTGAACCAGCGCGATCCAGTGTGATGGGTTACGTTTTCGAAAGTTCTCTTAACATTTTGGGATGGCTGGATACGGTATCTAGGGAAAATACATTCTGCGAACCTACCCTCAGAACACCCGCCTGCAAGGGACGGTTGACTGGTTTCGGTAACAAAAAAATTCCGAATACTGCCAAGGAACAGTAACATTCTTACGCGGTTCAGTGTAGCGAAAAACAGGGTGTACAAGGAGCAACAGTATTAAGGGCAGCTACTATATTTATTCCAGCCCCTCAGAAATCTGGGATGCTGCCATCGCTGCGCTGCCTTTCAGGAAATCTAGCAGTTTGGCATGCAAGATTTTATTGAATGCTTGATTTGAGCCGTTCGATAATGGCGGGAGCGTTTACGGACGACTCCCTTCGCTACGCGACTCACTTAGCCCAAAAACCGATCGATATGCGTATCCACGGCATTCGGGATCAGGACTCGAGACCAAAGCAACTTTCATTTGATCCCTGCCCGCCCAGCTCACGCCACCAGACGCGCGTCAGCACTGGAGATTTAGCACGCCGATGGTCGAAACACGGGCGGCTAGTGGATGGGGTCGTTCCTTCTTCAAACGAACGCACTGCAGTCAGTCCTTCCAAAATCACGCCGCCCCTTTTTTAGATTCGGTATCCGAACTGTCAAGAATCTTGTGTTTTTTCCACCCCACGCGAGCGAGTTCCCTCCAGCTTTTTAGGGGCGAGAGAGGAGGAAAAGGCGGTAGAGTTGCAGGGAATGGGGGATGAACCACTTGACGTGGATGGACGGAGATGAGCGGCGCGTGAGGTAAGCTTTTGACAGGCCAATAGCAGAGAAAGTGGGGCGAGAGTGGAGCGAAAGAAATTAACAAGAGAGTGGAGGGAGAGAGTGGAGGGAGAGACGAGGGAGTGGGGTGAGAGGCTTGTGGAAAGAGAGCAGCAACTCAGCTAGTCACAGCGCGAGCAGCCGCTTACTGTCTTCCAACTTGTATAAGCAGCATGTCGCTTCATCCACATTCATTCGCGCACGATTCATCCCGATCTCGTCACGATTCGAACGGTTTGACAAACGCACGGTCTGTTACTTGCCCTGTCTCTCGTAGGACTCAAGCTGGATTCAAGTAGCCCTTTGAGAAAACAAGTCCCCGTGTTCACCCAAAACGTGTTACTTCACCTCCTGCTCCTCGGCTAAAGATTCTCACAGCAGCCGCAGATCCATCTTCACTTTACTCTCTGCAGCGACGCGGCTAGTCTGGTTCCGCTATAACCTCCCCGCGGATTATTCCCCCCTCCCGCAGCCGCCATGTGTCGCCCGCGCTGGTCGCGCCTGATGGGTCTTCCGCGCGAGGCTCCGCGCGGGGGTCCGGACAACGCGCGCCACGTCTTCCGCGGAGTGCGCCAGCGCAAGTGGGGCTCCTGGGTGGCGGAGATCGCGCACCCGCGCGTCAAATCGCGCGTCTGGCTGGGATCTTTCCGCACGGCGGAAGCTGCTGCAAGGGCGTACGACCGCGCTGCTCTCAAGCTCCTGGGACCCTCGGCTCTTCTCAACTTCCCCCAACCTCAGGCTTCCCGTAACGACCCTCTACCACTGGGGCCTGAAGCCCCTGAAGCCCTTAAACCTCTAGTAGGGTCTGGAGCCCTCCCCGCTGGCGCTTCCCCTTCAGCTTCCCCTGCCGCAGCCAATGAAGTCACCACTGCCCCTAACAAGGCACAGGCCGAAGCACGTCCCCTGACATCACAGGGCGGCCCAGTCAGCAAGAGAAGAGCCCTGCACGTTGCTGGAGGAGTAGCAGTGAAACCCCTCTCTCCGCCCGTGATGCTGTCCCCATCAACCAATCCGAGAGCAGCAGCAGGCGTTTCGGCGTCGCCTCTGCCTTCCGTGACCAGATTGGCTTCCCTTCGTTCCTCGACGGCGTGCCGCTTCAGTCCCCCAGTTGACCCAACAGTTGGCACCCACATGAACTTCCCTGATCGCACTGCGGTTGAGAGCGGTTCCAGAACTCCTGCTGCTGCTACTCCCACTACCAGTACCTGTGGTGGTGTCTCGGCGGAGCACATGAGAACACAGATGCTGCAGCGGCTGCTGTCCCCACCTTCACGAGACAGCACGAGGGCACAGACGCTCGATCATGCTGCAGCCAGCGCAGTCGGCATCACCACAGTCGGCGCCACCACTTCCTTTGACGTTTTCCCCGTTGCTGCTGCTGGGAATAGGGGCTGCTGTGTCTCTGCTGTTGGGAATGAGCTGCCGTCCCTGCTGGGCCATGTGTCGGCATGTGTTGCGTTGTTGGCGGCTCTGGGCGCTAGCGTCTTGCTTAACACACCTGTGGCTGCTTCTGCTGCCCCTGCTGCTGCCCTTGCTGCTCCTTCTCCTCCTGCTGCTGCTCGTGCTCTGACCACTCCTGTTTCGTCTCCTGCTCCTCTGCCTGCTGCTTCTCCTCCTGCTGCTGCTCCTGCTGAAGCCCCAACAGCACAGGCAGCAGCAATGCACAGAAGCTACTCGGCCCTGCCCTACCCTCCCCCTTCACACCGCATCGCCCCATTCACTTGCCTCTCTGAACCGTTCACCTCACAGAACTTCAGTACAAGCACTCCTCCTTCTGCCACCACTGCTACCAACAAATTCGATGTTTCGAGAAAGAGATCGTGGGAGAAGGTTGTGATGCCGATACAGTCACACCAGTCTGTTCTTACAGTCACACCAGTGGATGGGCAGCTGAAGGCGCTGCTGTTGGAGTTGGAGGAGGAGGAGGAGAGTAGAGTAGGCGAGGCATCGTGGGCTGAGCGATCTAAGCAGGTTGAGACGCTGCTGCTGGAGCTTGAAGAGGAGAGAAGTGTGAAGAAGAGACACTGGGGTCAGCAACCAGAGCAGGTTCAGACGGTGGTGCCTGGATTCAACAGCCCTCAGCTAATGCAGCATGAGCTTCAGGCAGTCTTGAAGCCCGTGCTGCCTTTGCCTCAGATTCACTCAGTGCAGCATGTTCACGTGCCAGCGCAGCAGCAGCACATAAATGCCTCGCTGGACTCTCTGCTGCAGCAGCTGGAGGCGACACAGGAGTATGAGATGATGCTGCTGGCCCAAGCAGTGGAAGCGCAGAGGAGGGAGGAAGAGCAAGTTTCTGCCCTTCACCCTCTGGTTTCGCCTTCGCTGCCCAGATTCCAGCCGGTTATACAGCCTTCTTACGGATCACAACTGGAAATTCCTCATCAGCAGTTCATGGATTCAGCCGTATCGCACAAGATTGTTTCCTTGGAGCCCCACCACACTCCTACCAATTCGCCTCTTCCGTCATTGACAAACACAGATTCACATATCATGAGTGCTACAGAATTTGAACTTGATTTTCTGGCCGACATCATGAATACATGGAGTTGAAAAGCGTGACATGTGAGTTATTGATTTCTCTCAAGTGTGACATTAAATGCTGTAAAATATAGATAATTCTAGATACCGTTATTTATGCAGAATGTTAAACAATGTTTCGAAGTGTGCATCCCGACACATTCTACACTTTGCGAAGTCCAACCTCGAAAGCGGCACGTGGCGCTCAGATGGAAGCTCGACTCGTTATCCGCCACCACACACCTCAAGGCACCCACGAACCGTCACCGCCACGTCGCCACTTCCTGAAGCATCTTCAGATGACCTGGCACATCGGGTGAGGGTGTACGTCACACCGTCTTCACCGTACCATCGCCTACCGAAACGTGCATCACCTCTTTATCTATCCTTCTCACCTCCTGAACCCCGTCAGTTGTTGCTAAAAGGAATCATCTCGTCAGTTCCTGACGCTCAGTCTGAATCCTGCTGAATCCTGATCTTTCCTTCTTTCGCTCTTCTTTTTGTTGAGTGACTGACAGAGATCAGTTTATGCTCAACTTTTCACGCTCGCAGCACGAGTACATCCACACGCTCAGACGACGCATTCGGTCGCAACACACGTCACGTCAGCCACATTCCGCCATACATTTTAACGTCCCACGTTTCCGTCACGAGAAAGAAAGCAGCCGTCAGCTGGGCTCACGTCAACAGACGTCTCTCGATCCTTATCGAAACTCGTGCGCGCCGAGTACTGTTGATTGACTAAGTACCGCTCGGCTAGAGCATCCGTACACTATTCCATTTCCGTGGCGGCAGCACCCTGCTCCTTCCTGATCCCGTTTCAACGCTCTTCAGTAGTTACCATGGCGGCTCTAATCTCGGCGGAGAGCGTCGCAACCATGGCTGTCGCCAACTCTGCGGCGAACCGCAGCCTCGCGAAGCTCTCTACGTGCTCGCGACTACCACCTTGCGCTGCTCTAACCGGCCGAGCGCCTGGCAGGCCGTTACGGATTTCTGCTCGGAGCTCCCTTCAAGGTGCGTTGAGGGAAGCATTATTTGGTGCAAGCCCTCTTGTTGCTGTTTCTTCTCAATCAAACTTCCAGCGGGCCGTTATGGATCTCCGCTTGGACTCTCTTCAGGGTGCGTTCGAAAGCCTTCTTGATCCGAACTAAGATTTTCCAGTTTGTGGTTCACAGTTTGCTTGATACTGCGTCGAGAGCGTTTTGAAGTCGAATAAAGTGGTATTTTCGTCCACAGTTTACTTGCATGTGCAAGAATTTGCACTCTGCGGTTTTCTTATGGGAAAATGTACCCTTCGGTAGCAGCAGGCTCAGTGTCAGTCTTCCCTCGCATCCACTCTCTGAGTCAACGCAACCGTCACCTCCAAAAGTGTGGAGCAGTCTGAGAGCAGATTCGCATTCCAGCACTTGCTGTTTTTCTTTGGTGCCGTTTGAGTCGACCCAAGAGTCACTTTCTTCGAATTCACATCACTCTCTTTGTTCCCATTCTACCGCTGCCCATTGTTGCTTCAATACCTTGCTTTGCTCTCCTTTCCTTGTGCCTTTTGAGTCGTCTCAAGAGCCACTTCTTCCGGATCCACCTCACTCGGTTGTTTCCATTCCAGCACTTGCTGTTCTTGCTTTGATCCACTTTGCTCATATATTTCCATTCCACCTTTTGCTGTCCTTGCTCTGGTGCAGACACAAGAGAAACAGGAGCACCTGCCACCAGCAGCAGCAGCAACAGCAGTAGCACCAAGAACAACAGCAGTGTCAACAGTCAAACGTCTCCCTCGCCGCCAGCCTCCTCCGCTGCTTCTCCTGCGGACGAAGCGGAGGAAGTTACCCGGAAATGGGGTCTCGAAGCCGGGCTATGGAAGGTGAGAGTTGGATAGGATTGGTGGGGCAGGTGGAAGGGGGTAAAGTGCGATTCATGACGCAAGATTCCCATACACGGGTAAATTGTTTTTGGAGCAGGTGAAGGAGGCAGAGCGAAGAAATTAGTAAAAATGAGCTAAAGAGTAATGGGTACGAAAGGAGAATACAGAAATGAGCTAAAAATGAGAAACTGCAGCAACTGACAGCAGAGCAGTGCCTTGAAAAGCACCGCTGCTGATGATTGATGATGCATCATTCAGAGCACCGGCAATCCCAAGGCTTAGAGCAACACGGAACTGGTAAAGGAACTGTTGACTCGCTACAGAGGGGCGTGCCTTCATTCCCACGCCCTCTCTCTCCCTGCCCCCCCCCCCCCCTCGCTCTCTCTCCCTGCCTCCCCCCCCCCCCCTCGCTCTCTCTCCCTGCCCCCCGCCCTTTTCTCTTCCCCCCATCTTCCGAAGGCTGGAAGCAACGCGGAAGTTGCAAAGGACCTGCTGACCCGCTATGGAGGGGCGTACCTCGGTACCTCCATCGCCCTCTCCCTCGTCTCCTTCTCTCTCTGCTACCTGCTTGTGGATCACGGCGTCGACGTGGCTGGGCTCCTTGACTCGGTAAGAGCTTGACTCGCTACGAGCTTGACTCGTTACGGACTTGACTCGTTAAGTAGTATATGATAGTGCAATATTCGGAACCTCCATCGCCCTCTCCCCCGTCTCATTCTCCCTCCGCTACCTGCTCGTTGACCAAGGCGTGAATGTGGCTGGACTCCTTGCCTCGGTAAGAACCGTCTTTTTACAGAAGAGCCGAACATTTGTCGCTTCCCTCTCCTCGTCTCCCTCCGCTACCTGCTCGTTGGCCAAGGGGTGGGACGTGGCTGGCCCCCTCGACTCGGTAAGAGCTGACTCGCTAGGAAGCGCTGTCATCAATCTCGTAGTATATGATAGATGCAGTACGTAGGACCTCCATCGCCCTCTCCTCTCCTTCTCTCTTTCGCCCTCTGCGTTGCCAATGGCGTGGATGTGGCTGGGCGTCTGGATTGGTTGAATGAACCTGTATGCCCATAGCATGTGGCCTATGCGGCCCAAAAGGCCGTATCTCGTGTCTGCGTCCCTCTTACCCAGGTATCCACCCTCTCTCCCTCACTCCCCCTCGTCTCCTTCGTAAACCTCTCCCTACCTCAGTTCGGTCTGCATGCGGACAGCACAGGGGAGGCAGTGGGCACCTTAGCTACCGCCTAAACCCATTTTCCCCTCCCTCCACTCCTTCACCCCCTTGCCCCTCCTCCCCTCCTTCAGTTCGGTCTGCATGTGGACAGCACAAGGGAGGCAGTGGGCACTTTCGCCATTGCCTGTGCGGCCTACAATGCCCTCTTAACCCCTTTCTCTCTCCCCCCATCCCCCCTGTTCTCTCCCCATCAGTTCGGTCTGCATGTGGACAGCACAGGGGAGGCAGTGGGCACCTTCGCCATTGCATATGCGGCTCACAAGGCCCTCTCTCCCGTGCGCTTCCCTCCCACCGTCGCCCTCACTCCTGTGGTGGCCGGCTGGTTGGGGAAGAACAAAGAGAGGGAGGGGGAGAGCAAGGGGGAGTAAGGGGGTTGGGGTGTATACAGGGGCGTACGGGAGGGGAGGGGAGGGAAGCAGGGGTGGGAGTGAGGGAGGAGAGAGGGAAACAGTGGAGGGAGTAAGAGCTCTCAACATTGCCATGCTGCCCACAAGGCCCTCTCTCCCGTTCGCTTCCCCCCCACCGTCGCGCTCACTCCTGTGGTGGCCGGCTGGCTTGGAAAGAACAAGGAGAAGGAGGGGGAGATCAAGGGGGAGTAAGGGGGAGTGAGGGGGAGTGAGGGGGAGTGAGGGAGGAGAGAGGGAAACAGTGAGGGGAGTAGGCCCGCTCTCTCCTGTGCGCGTCCCCCACTGTTGCCCTCACTCCTGTGGTGGCTGGCTGGCTTGGAAAGAACGAGGGGGAGAGCAAGGGGGAGTGAGGGGGAGTGAGGGAGGAGAGAGGGCAACAGTGAGGGGAGTAGGCCCTCTCTCCTGTACGCGTCCCCCACTGTCGCCCTCACTCCTGTGGTAGCTGTCTGGCTGGGGAAGAACGAGGAGAGGGTGTGAGGGGAGAAGGAAGGATGCGAACTTTTTTGGAGATGATTTTTTTCTACAGATTTAGAGAAAATAGTCCTCTTGTACTTTTATTTTGGGTTTGGGTGTGTTCCGAGTGCTGTTCTATGATACTACTATACAGTATGTTCCGGAGTGGGCAAAACATTGAAGGTCGTCAGACTTTTGTCTACGTTCCACATCAGTAGCACAATCTTGGAATGTGCTCGATGGAATGTTCTCAATGGATCACCACCAAGCTTTCTCAGCCACCTAAACCATGACATTTACAGTAACGTCTTCTATATTGACCGCCCCTTTTCAGCACGCCCTCTAACTTCTCAGCCTTTTGGTACCCCTCAATGGCAGAGAGCGGTCCCAGGGAGGGGAATATGCATTATCTTCATCAAAGAATGTAACATTAGTGCATATCATAGCAATACAAGTTACAGTAACACCCTCTATATAGACCGCCCCTTTTTAAGCACGGCCTCGAGCTTCTCGGCCTTCTGGTACTCCATGGCAGTGAGAGGGCCCGGGGGGAAGACAGTGACCTCGACCACGATGTGTGGCGCGGGCAGCTCGTCAAACATGGCCCTCACGTTGTTGCAGCACACTGTCTCGCTGTGCGCTGTTTCCCTGCGAATCTGGCAGCCCTGTTGTGGCAGGGGGGGAGAGGGAGGGAGGTTAGGAAGACAGTGACCTCGACCACAATGTGTGGCGCGGGCAGCTCGTCAAACATGGCCCTCACGTTGTTGCAGCACACTGTCTCGCTGTGCGCTGTTTCCTTCCTGATTTGGCAGCCCTGTGAGAGGGAGGTTGGGGAGCAGGAGCAGGCTCACAACCATCAAATGAGACGATTTTCGAGGTGTTTATGAATCACACCGCACGTGGCACAGCTTCGATCACACCGCACGTGCCACAGCTTCGATCACACCGCACGTGCCACAGCTTCGATCACACCGCACGTGCCACAGCTTCGATCACACCGCACATGGCACAGCTTCACAAGCGGCCCCCCCTGGTGCTCTCAGCCTCTCACAGCTCTCGTGCTCCCATGCGTGCTCCCATGCGTGCTCCCATGCGTGCTCCCATGCGTGCTCCCATGCGTGCTCCCATGCGTGCTCCCATGCGTGCTCCCATGCGTGCTCCCATGCGTGCTCCCATGCGTGCTCCCATGCGTGCTCCCATGCGTGCTCCCATGCGTGCTCCCATGCGTGCTCCCATGCGTGCTCCCATGCGTGCTCCCATGCGTGCTCCTTACGTCCAAAACAGCCACACGCGTACCTTGTGCGAGGTGGCGTCAGCAAAGAGATCATCTTCAGACAGCAGAGCCATGAGGGAACGGAGAGTACACGGCACTGCCTCACCAGAGTGCCCTCTCATGTGCTGTTCGCTCACGTTGGTTGGTGCTCTCATCTTCCCACCCGCTCGCTCACCTTGTGCGAGGTGGCATCGGGGAAAAGGTCATCTTCAGACGGCAGAGCCATGAGGGACCGGAGGGTTCTTCGCCCCTCGCTCACGTTCGGCACGCGGCACCGCCGCACCAGCATGCCCTTGGTGCTCTCGTGCCTCCCAGCTCTCAGGTGTGGTAGTCGCTCACCTTGTGCGAGGTGGCATCGGTGAAGAGATCGTCTTCGGACAGCAGCGCCATGAGGGAACGGAGAGTCCGCCTCCCCTGTGTGATCTCTTGTGCTCTTAAAAAGCCACACCTGTGTGACCTGTCTCAATCCCTCACCTTGTGCGAGGTGGCGTCAGTAAAGAGATCATCTTCAGAGAGCAGGGCCATGAGGGAACGGAGAGTCCTCCTCCCCTCACTCACGTTGGGCACTCGGCACCGCCTCACCAGCGTGCCCTTGGTGCTCTCATGCCATCTGCTGCCTCTCGTGCTCTCAGCTCTCTCGTGTGCTAATCGCTCACCTTATGGGAGGTGGCATCGGTGAAAAGGTCGTCTTCAGACAGCAGGGCCATGAGGGACCGAAGAGTCCTCCTCCCCTCGCTCACGTTCGGCACACGGCATTGCCTCACGAGAGTGCCCTTGGCGCTCTCAACCACCCACTAACCTTGTGTGAAGTGCGTACCTTGTGCGAGGTGACGTCAGTAAAGAGATCGTCTTCAGACAGAAGAGCCATCAACGACCGAAGGGTGCGCCTCCCCTCGCTCACGTTGGGCACACGGCACCGCCTCACGAGAGTGCCCTTGGTGCTCTCATGCCATCTGCTGCCTGCCGCCTTCTTTGCCTCCTTGGCCGCTTTCTCGGCTGAAACACGGCGGGGTGGTGAGACAGGGAGACGGGGAGACGAATGGGAATCACTGGCACCGCCTCACCAGCGTGCTCTCCTTGGTGCTCTCATGCCATCTGCTGCCTGCCGCCTTCTTCGCCTCCTTGGCTGCTTTCTCCGCTGGTGGACGGGAGGAGAGAGAGATGGTGGGGCAGGGATGGGAGGAGAGAGAGGTGGTGGGGCAGAGATGGGAGGAGAGAGAGGTGGTGGGGCAGGGATGGGAGGAGAGAGAGGTGGTGGGGCAGGGATGGGAGGAGAGAGAGGTGGTGGGGCAGGGATGGGAGGAGAGAGAGGTGGTGGGGCAGGGATGGGAGGAGAGAGAGGTGGTGGGGCAGGGATGGGAGGAGAGAGAGGTGGTGGGGCAGGGATGGGAGGAGAGAGAGGTGGTGGGGCAGGGATGGGAGGAGAGAGAGGTGGTGGGGCAGGGATGGGAGGAGAGAGAGGTGGTGGGGCAGGGATGGGAGGAGAGAGAGGTGGTGGGGCAGGGATGGGAGGAGAGAGAGGTGGTGGGGCAGGGATGGGAGGAGAGAGAGGTGGTGGGGCAGGGATGGGAGGAGAGAGAGGTGGTGGGGCAGGGATGGGAGGAGAGAGAGGTGGTGGGGCAGGGATGGGAGGAGAGAGAGGTGGTGGGGCAGGGATGGGAGGAGAGAGAGGTGGTGGGGGCAGGGATGGGAGGAGAGAGAGGTGGTGGGGCAGGGATGGGAGGAGAGAGAGGTGGTGGGGCAGGGATGGGAGGAGAGAGAGGTGGTGGGGCAGGGATGGGAGGAGAGAGAGGTGGTGGGGCAGGGATGGGAGGAGAGAGAGGTGGTGGGGCAGGGATGGGAGGAGAGAGAGGTGGTGGGGCAGGGATGGGAGGAGAGAGAGGTGGTGGGGCAGGGATGGGAGGAGAGAGAGGTGGTGGGGCAGGGATGGGAGGAGAGAGAGGTGGTGGGGCAGGGATGGGAGGAGAGAGAGGTGGTGGGGCAGGGATGGGAGGAGAGAGAGGTGGTGGGGCAGGGATGGGAGGAGAGAGAGGTGGTGGGGCAGGGATGGGAGGAGAGAGAGGTGGTGGGGCAGGGATGGGAGGAGAGAGAGGTGGTGGGGCAGGGATGGGAGGAGAGAGAGGTGGTGGGGCAGGGATGGGAGGAGAGAGAGGTGGTGGGGCAGGGATGGGAGGAGAGAGAGGTGGTGGGGCAGGGATGGGAGGAGAGAGAGGTGGTGGGGCAGGGATGGGAGGAGAGAGAGGTGGTGGGGCAGGGATGGGAGGAGAGAGAGGTGGTGGGGCAGGGATGGGAGGAGAGAGAGGTGGTGGGGCAGGGATGGGAGGAGAGAGAGGTGGTGGGGCAGGGATGGGAGGAGAGAGAGGTGGTGGGGCAGGGATGGGAGGAGAGAGAGGTGGTGGGGCAGGGATGGGAGGAGAGAGAGGTGGTGGGGCAGGGATGGGAGGAGAGAGAGGTGGTGGGGCAGGGATGGGAGGAGAGAGAGGTGGTGGGGCAGGGATGGGAGGAGAGAGAGGTGGTGGGGCAGGGATGGGAGGAGAGAGAGGTGGTGGGGCAGGGATGGGAGGAGAGAGAGGTGGTGGGGCAGGGATGGGAGGAGAGAGAGGTGGTGGGGCAGGGATGGGAGGAGAGAGAGGTGGTGGGGCAGGGATGGGAGGAGAGAGAGGTGGTGGGGCAGGGATGGGAGGAGAGAGAGGTGGTGGGGCAGGGATGGGAGGAGAGAGAGGTGGTGGGGCAGGGATGGGAGGAGAGAGAGGTGGTGGGGCAGGGATGGGAGGAGAGAGAGGTGGTGGGGCAGGGATGGGAGGAGAGAGAGGTGGTGGGGCAGGGATGGGAGGAGAGAGAGGTGGTGGGGCAGGGATGGGAGGAGAGAGAGGTGGTGGGGCAGGGATGGGAGGAGAGAGAGGTGGTGGGGCAGGGATGGGAGGAGAGAGAGGTGGTGGGGCAGGGATGGGAGGAGAGAGAGGTGGTGGGGCAGGGATGGGAGGAGAGAGAGGTGGTGGGGCAGGGATGGGAGGAGAGAGAGGTGGTGGGGCAGGGATGGGAGGAGAGAGAGGTGGTGGGGCAGGGATGGGAGGAGAGAGAGGTGGTGGGGCAGGGATGGGAGGAGAGAGAGGTGGTGGGGCAGGGATGGGAGGAGAGAGAGGTGGTGGGGCAGGGATGGGAGGAGAGAGAGGTGGTGGGGCAGGGATGGGAGGAGAGAGAGGTGGTGGGGCAGGGATGGGAGGAGAGAGAGGTGGTGGGGCAGGGATGGGAGGAGAGAGAGGTGGTGGGGCAGGGATGGGAGGAGAGAGAGGTGGTGGGGCAGGGATGGGAGGAGAGAGAGGTGGTGGGGCAGGGATGGGAGGAGAGAGAGGTGGTGGGGCAGGGATGGGAGGAGAGAGAGGTGGTGGGGCAGGGATGGGAGGAGAGAGAGGTGGTGGGGCAGGGATGGGAGGAGAGAGAGGTGGTGGGGCAGGGATGGGAGGAGAGAGAGGTGGTGGGGCAGGGATGGGAGGAGAGAGAGGTGGTGGGGCAGGGATGGGAGGAGAGAGAGGTGGTGGGGCAGGGATGGGAGGAGAGAGAGGTGGTGGGGCAGGGATGGGAGGAGAGAGAGGTGGTGGGGCAGGGATGGGAGGAGAGAGAGGTGGTGGGGCAGGGATGGGAGGAGAGAGAGGTGGTGGGGCAGGGATGGGAGGAGAGAGAGGTGGTGGGGCAGGGATGGGAGGAGAGAGAGGTGGTGGGGCAGGGATGGGAGGAGAGAGAGGTGGTGGGGCAGGGATGGGAGGAGAGAGAGGTGGTGGGGCAGGGATGGGAGGAGAGAGAGGTGGTGGGGCAGGGATGGGAGGAGAGAGAGGTGGTGGGGCAGGGATGGGAGGAGAGAGAGGTGGTGGGGCAGGGATGGGAGGAGAGAGAGGTGGTGGGGCAGGGATGGGAGGAGAGAGAGGTGGTGGGGCAGGGATGGGAGGAGAGAGAGGTGGTGGGGCAGGGATGGGAGGAGAGAGAGGTGGTGGGGCAGGGATGGGAGGAGAGAGAGGTGGTGGGGCAGGGATGGGAGGAGAGAGAGGTGGTGGGGCAGGGATGGGAGGAGAGAGAGGTGGTGGGGCAGGGATGGGAGGAGAGAGAGGTGGTGGGGCAGGGATGGGAGGAGAGAGAGGTGGTGGGGCAGGGATGGGAGGAGAGAGAGGTGGTGGGGCAGGGATGGGAGGAGAGAGAGGTGGTGGGGCAGGGATGGGAGGAGAGAGAGGTGGTGGGGCAGGGATGGGAGGAGAGAGAGGTGGTGGGGCAGGGATGGGAGGAGAGAGAGGTGGTGGGGCAGGGATGGGAGGAGAGAGAGGTGGTGGGGCAGGGATGGGAGGAGAGAGAGGTGGTGGGGCAGGGATGGGAGGAGAGAGAGGTGGTGGGGCAGGGATGGGAGGAGAGAGAGGTGGTGGGGCAGGGATGGGAGGAGAGAGAGGTGGTGGGGCAGGGATGGGAGGAGAGAGAGGTGGTGGGGCAGGGATGGGAGGAGAGAGAGGTGGTGGGGCAGGGATGAGAGGAGAGAGAGAGCGGTGGTGAGACAAGAATCACCAGCGTGCCCCTGGTGCTCTCGTGCCATCTGCTGCCTGCTGCCTTCTTTGCTTCCTTACCTGCCCTCTCAGCTGGTGGGTAAGAAGAGGGATGACTGGACGGACAAAGGAGATGGGGAGCTGTAGAGATTGTTTGGTGGATACAAAAAGCCTGAAGCAAACCCAGTCAACCCAGTCAACCAAATCAACCCTTGCTACAGTTATTCAATTCAACTCACTGGTGCTACGATCTCAAACAGTGTCTTTACGACCCGGTCAACGAGGTCAACACAGTCCTAATCAACCAACCACAACTTGCACCCGCCCAGAACTCACCAGCAATCCAAAACAGCCTTGTTGACCCGGTCAACGAGGTCAACCCGGTCAAGTAAACAGCCATACTAATGCCCATCCAAACTCACCAGCGTTCCCAAACAGCGCCTTGTTGACCCGGTCAACGAGGTTGATCCCGCCCGTGCTCTCAGCCCCGCCAGCTGGCAGAGGAACAGTGGGGTTTGGGGTCAAGGGGACAGAGAAGGGGGAATTTGTTTGACTCTTTGACCCTGTTGACCCGGTCAACGAGGCTGATAATGCAACCCCTGCTCTCAGCCCTGCCAGCTGGCAGACGAATGAATAGCTGGCGGGGTGTGATGGGACGGCGAGGCAAGTGAAATTCGTTTGACTCTTTGACCCTGTTGACCCGGTCAACGAGGTCAATAATGCAGCCCCTGCTCTCAGCCCCGCCAGCTGGCAGCCGAATTGCTGGTGGGGTGTGATGGTGACAGGGAAAGGGGATCGCAGAGGGATGGACAGACAAGTATCGAGTTGTGGTTGGGGCCTGGGGTATGCGACATTGCTTGGGGGGGTAGGGTACCTTACCTTACATATCTATCCTAAAAGTCATCCTAGATCGTCTTGACGTCCCTCCACTACGTCCATCTTACTCCCTGGTGTGATGAGTCTGTTTTTGAGTCGGTTCAAAAACAGCTTCATTGTGTCCATCTTACTCCCTGGACTTCGTTTAACTCGTTCTCACTAGAACACTAGACACAACCCTAGAACGTCCTGACCTTCCCTCGTTTTCTTGATCCCACGCGTCTTGAGAACCCCTCGTCCTTCTCCTCTTCTCACCTTTCTCCGCTCCAGCCACTCCCAGCTTCACCAGCAGGTAAAACGCCGCCATTCGCGCCGCCCATTGCGCCGCGGACGCCGCCGACACCTGCAGCCCCGCGATGACGGCGCGCGGAGCCACCGCGACCCCGCGCGAGGGGGCGGAGGGGGAGGCGCGGCGGGCGGCGGCGGCGGAAGGAAGAGGCGGGAGAGCTCGGATGGGGGTGAGCGCGAAGGCGGAGGACGAGCGGAGGGCTGCGAGAAGGCAGCCGCGGAAAGATCGGGGGAAATGACGCGCGGAGGGAGGGAGGGGAGGCGGAGAAAGCGGGTGTTGCGGAACGGGGTTTGGAGAGGAGGAACAGAGAGGGAGGAAGCGGAGCGGGTGGGATTCTCCTACATTCGCAAGAATCTCTCGCGAGGTTGGTGACGGCTCGTCGATGCGAAAGAATGCGAAAGGGTGCGAAAGAATGCGAAAGGATGCGAAAGGTGCTCAAGGAAGGGGAGGGCTCTAGACAATTCTCAAGGAAATGTTTCGCAATTCTTTCGCATTCTTGAGTCGCAGGAGGGACGGGGTGCAGGATCGAATGTGGGTGGAGGACGGGAAAATGCTGGCTAGGAGAGATAATATGGTGACGCCGCTAATGACGGGCGACGGGTCCCCTTCCGCTGGCGAAAAAAGATTGAAAAAAAACAATGGAACGATTCTTTCTCTCTCTAAAAAGGCTTCAAACAAGCTTTCTGACATTTCCCTGATTGACGGAGGGCGGTAAGAACAGGATCTCACACGCGGCGGCAGGTAAACCGGTGGGCCGGTAGCCGCTGATGCTGCTGACTGCTGACGTGGCAAGCGCTGCAGCCGCCATTGCAAAAACTCCTCACCAAGAGGACGAGAACGACGGGGTGGAAGTGGTGGAAAGCGGTGGAAACCGTGGAATGCGGAAACCGATGAGGGGATCTTGGATGGACGAAGGGCTACGTGGGGAAAGAAACTAAAATGAACAGGTAAAGGACAGGAGTAAGAGAATAAGAATTGACAAGCGAGCAAAATGGTGGACAGCTAGAGAAATGGTGATTTCAAGGGGAAGCTCAGGGATTCCAAGACCGAAACCTTGTAACGAGAGTCAAACAGCAAGAGAGCTCAATTGAATAAATACATGGAAAATCGTTTTCTGTATAGACTATTGCACATCTTTCAGTTCAACTTGCAAATGGTTGGTTGGTAGGTGTTGCGTTTGGTAACTTACTTAGGCTCTTTCCTGACAATTTATTATGCAAGTTCACATTTTAAAACAGCTTGTGACGATGAATAATTAGGAGAGGAGAGAAACGGGATTATGGCGTGAGTTAGTTTCAATAATTGCAGTTATTAAAAATATCCATTCAGGGCATTAATACAGCTTATCCTTTGGTACCATGCACATTGAGGATTCTAGCGTATATGGTACTGCAAGCTGTATGGTACTGCAACACCCTAATCTGTGAAGTTTGCATAAGCAGTGTGCGTTCACATACTAAGCAGAGTATCGAGTCATCACGTTGACTGATGGCCATTCCAGTCAACTGGACGAGAGTTCGACTCAATTGAGAGTGCCCAACCCTCTGACCTATTTCCACGGGCTATTTTGACACCTTCAGCCCTCCTCCCCACGTCCTGCCAAAAAAGCCCAACGTCTAGCCAGCTGTAGATGGCCATTTGATTTGTCTGTCTCGGCGCCGACACTGGAAGTGTGAGCAGATTCATTTTGTTTCGACATAGGGAATTTCTTCTGCATTTCCGGTCCGTTTGCAGGTGTCATCCCCGCTAAAAAACGCCACGCCAGCCTTATTCTATCGTCGTTTACAGCATCGCGTGCTTCAACAGTTAAGTTCGACCATGTTGGTCTTTGCGAGTCCCGCTGAGATCACATTGACAGGGTTACAAACGAGGACGACATTGAAAACGAAGATTGGCGATCAGTGGTCTCCCAAGACAGGGCAACGTTTTGCTGGTCAGTGTGCACCCTTTCTTGGGCACTGCGTAAGTCTCCGAGCCGCTACGGCATTCCGCAGATGCATCATTCCCCCCCTTCCCGTCCCCCATCCAGTCACTCCGCGCGATCACCGCACTTGTTTTCCCCAGCGGTGAAAGGCCCTCCTTCCGTCCTGTCTTTGGTTCGGAGGGGAATTCTGGTTTTGGTTTCAGAGTCGAGCTCAGAACTATCAGCCGATTATTGGGCCTAGTAGTTTACGGTGCGGTGTTCGGGGATCTGAGTACTGTACTTTGGGTTTCAGAGTCGAACTCATATGCCAGCTCAACTCGTCCCCCTCTACGGCCCTCAGAACTGGTTCGATCTAAAATCAACACTCACTGTGAAGCATTTGACCCTACCTTCAAAGTATGCATCCCGTTTCAGAAATTGCATTTGGGCACTGTAAAATGCCCAGGCAGATGCGAAACAGGGTTCCCTTTTCCAAGAAACGCCCTACTCTGATGTGCCCCATTTACACGAAACAAGGTACACATGATGCCCGTTTGACTAACCCAAGGTTGCCTTACGAAGAGGGCTCTTAAGTGATTCTTGCATTTCGCTAGGCTTTCGTCAATTCGCACTTAGCAAAAAGGGCTTATAAAAAGTTTTGTAACTCGCCGTTGACCGTTTGACTTCAGTCTCTTCGGTCAAACTTCGATTTCTGTGGTTCGTATTGGTTGAGGTGCTTGTACATGGGGTGCAACTGGCTGGCGCAAAATACACGTGTGCAGAGTTTCCGCCGCGTGCAGGGCAAATTCGCGCGCAGGGGTTGGGCAAAATACCCTTTTCCACGACGAAGTACACTCCCTCAAACACACTACTGTACCGCTGCCCTCGCTCCTTCCCTCTCGACTCGAGCCACCCGCACTCCCTCTTTCCCGCTCCGCATCTCGCATGCTCGCATCTCTGTATCATCTCCGCTGTATGTGCTGGCAGCCAGAATCTCCGAAATCAATCTCCTGCATCTGTCGCCATCTGCAGCATTCCCAGCCAAACACAATCTCCCAAGCCGCGCAGGTCGAGAAGCAGGCGCATTAGCGCGAAAACCAGCGACAAAATATGGGTCAGACGAGGTGTAGGTGAGGAAGCGAGTGAGTGAGGGAGGGCCAAGCCTAGTCAGCAGCAGCCGTGAGGGGGATATCACAGGCACACAGTCTCTTCCAGGCGCTTCTCATGGCTCCGATAACTTCACAACGCAAGGCTCGCGCGTCCGCGGAGCGCGAGATAGGCCGAGAGTGTCCCGCCCAGCGGGGATTATCCGCGGAATCGCCGCGAAGAAAGCATCTCCCCTCAGTCCCCAGCCGCGGCCCGCGCCAATTTGGCCTGACTTTTCATGGCTGTTGTGACAAGTAATACTTTTCGAAGTTCGAAGCGCACGAGCGTATATAAATATATGCCTCGCCGACATATTTTCTCCGTCACGATCCATCACGTTCCCCCACTCTTCCCCATCGTCCTCCGTTAGTAACTCGAGGTACTACAACTTGAAAGACGAGGAATATTAAGTCGTGGCATGGCCGCAGTCAACGTCATTGCAGAACAACCGCGAGCCCTGTCGTTACTCCGAAACGTCAGTAATTTTCTCACGTGCTGCGCAACTCTAATTGAGTTACCCTCTTGAGCATTTGTAGTCCGCTCCGCATCCCGTGATAGAGTTAGGGTTAACTTTGCGCGACGGCGCCGCGAGTTGTCTTCCGAATGAATCCCACATTCACGTCCCCGCAGAACCCGCAGCCGACCGGAATGTCCCGAGCGCATTCTCCGCCGAGGGGCATTCTACACACGCTCGCCACGTCATCTGCGCCGCTGATCGAGGATCCCCGCGCGCCGCTCGCGGACCGTCTCCGCGCGCTTATCATTAAAGCGGAAGCCGCAGGTCTTGCGCAACCGCCGACTGCGGGGACGGCCGAGGCGCCGAGCCACGGAAGGTACTTTCCAAAATCCACGTCCGAACCTGGTGTTGCGGGTGCGGCGGTTTCCGAAGCGATTTTCAGCGACCAGTGGGGCTCTCAGGTTGACAACATCGAGTGTGAGACTACGGGGCGGCTTACAGCGGGGATGGGGAGTCTCTTCAAATCATATCCCTCGTTTCCCGGAGCCATTTTTTACCCGTCGCCTTCCGGCGCCGCCGTTTTCCGCCAAGACCTGCTGCTCAACCGCAGCGGGAGCGTCAGCGGTAACCCGCGCTCCCCGCAATGGCATTCCCCGCGCTCCCCGCATTCTCCGCGCGCATCCGCGTCGCCGCGCTCCCCGCATTCCCCGCGCTCGCCTGCCCGGCATCACCGCAGCTTCGCGTCGCGTCTCGCCGCGCGCGGTCCGTCCTCCGCGTCGCAGAAGCTTCCGCCTCCGTCCGTGGCGCATTTGATACCGGAGCGCCCATCGTCCCAAGTCGTTTCCGGCGGAGACTCGGAAACTTCCCTACTACGACCGCCCACGTACCCGCAGCAGCAGCAGCAGAACCAGCAGCAGCAGCAACTAAAGCTCGAACAATATCAACACATTCAAGAAGCACCAATGCGTGTCGCATCCCCGTTCGCTCTCAGAGACGCGGGAATCAGCCCAGCCGCCCTCCTCGAGTCGCCTATCATGGCAGGCCGCCCCGAACCAACCCTAGGCTCGGCAGGGAGTGCAGCCTCGGCACAAGCCGAACCTGCTGTCGCTGCATCGTTTTTGGATCTACCACCACCGTCTCTCCCCCTCCACGCCTCAAATCTCCCCCTCTCGGCCTCAGTTCCCCCCTTCCACGCCACAGTTTCCCCCCCAAACTTGACGGTTCCCCTTCTGCCTGCTTCTGTTAACGGGCTGGTAAAAGCTTTTCCACCGAAACCAGCGCCCCTTACTGTACCAGGCTCAGACGCCGAGCCTGCAGGTTTGGAAATGTCCGAGCCTGCGATAGAGGGGGAAACCCCAACCTCTGGTGTGGAGAACCCAGCGAAGGAGGAAGTTTTTGCTTTCGGGGGGAGGGACGAAACGGCAGGGAAAGATGACCTGAACGACCTGTTTGACTTTTTTGACTCGCTTGTGGGCGGCGCAAGTGGCAGTGGGAGTGGGAGTGGGGGTGTGGGTGGGGGTGAGCAGCAAAGAAGCACCGAGAACCTTCTTGGAAGGAACAGCAGCTGCAGCAGCGACCGAAGCAGGAAGCACCTGGAAGTTTCAGAAGCGCCGGAAACCTATGGGAGCAAATCTCGGGCAGGTCGGAAATATCGGAGCATGGAGGGACTGGAGGCGAACCGCATCACGGAGTTTATTTTGGTGCCTGCCCAAGACGGGTACAACTGGCGAAAGTACGGGCAAAAAATGGTGAAAGGCTGCCTGCATCCCCGGCTTTATTTCCGTTGCACATATCCGGGCTGCCCGGTGAGAAAAACGGAGGAGCGGGCAGATGACGGGGAGGTGCTAGAAAGAATCTACAGGGGATTGCACAATCACCCGCTTCCTGGGCTGCCCGCAAAAGAAAGTCAGGAGGAGGGATGGGAAACCCGGCGTGCGCAGCAGCAGCAGCAGCAGCAGCAGCAGCAGGAGTTGGATGCTTCCCCTCCTGCTGCTGCTGCTGCTGATGTTAGTTCTCAACTTCCCCTACTTTCCCCATCTTCATTTCCGTTACTACGAGCCGAGTCCTCATCAATAAGGCAGGGTACTCCCATAAGTAACGCTATTGGTAACCAGACTGGTAACCCTACTGGTAACCAGACTTGTAACACTGCTACAGACCGCCATGGGTCACAGGAGAGGCTATGGGGGAAGCGACTGTTCCTTCATCACAGCCGTTTATCCGCCCCTGCCAACCTGCAAATCTCAGCCGTTGATCTTACTAGCCCTGCTCTTAGTTCTGAGGGGCCCACAGGGAGCAGTGGTGGGTCGAATGTGAGTGGGGAGAGGAAGAGGAAGGCGCTACCTGGGGTAGGTGTATCTGCTGGGAACCTGTCAGCTGAAGGGATGGAGGATGATGTTACTAGCGCAGCAGCTTATAACGCAGCGGTATCTCTTACTAATAAAGCTGCTCATAACGGAGCAGCTGCTAAGGAAGCAGCTTATAACGAAGCTGCTGGAGTTACGGATAAGAAGCCGAGGCGGAGCGCCGAAACGGTGCTGGTATGTGCTCAGCAAATAATCGACGAGCCAAAACTCGTCATCGAGTTACGCAGTAACATGGAACTTCTAGACGACGGTTACCGCTGGCGCAAGTACGGGCAGAAGGTGGTGCGCGGTAACCCTAATCCGCGGAGTTACTACAAGTGCACGCATGCGGGGTGTACCGTGCGTAAGCACGTGGAGCGTGCGGTTACAGATCCGTGCGTTGTGGTAACCAGCTATGAAGGCCGGCATTGCCATGCCATGCCAGGACCTGTGTTCTCTCCTCCTCCTGCTGAGAAAAAACTTCCGTCTGCTAGTGATACTATTGCTGCTGGGAGCGGAAATGACTCTGGGATGTGTTTGCGACAATTGCCTGGGGAGGCTGTGGCAGTGAATGGAGTGGGGCATTGGGTGCTGCACTGAAGATTGCTGGTTACTTGGTTACCACTCACCCTGTGCTACCTTTTTTACGGTTGCCTGGAGAGGCCTCGGCAGTGAATGGCCCCTTGCTCAACCCCCCCCCACTCCTCTTCCTTCTTCCTTTCTCACACTCTCGCTCTATGACTCCCTCCTCCCTCCCTCCCTCCCTCCCTCCCTCCCTCCGTCCCTCACTCACTCATTCACTCACTCACTCCCTCACTCCCTCACTCCCTCGCGTTCTCACTCTCCCTCTCATGACCCTTGCAAAGCTACCTGCTCCCCTCCTATGCCCCTTCCAATGCTACCATCACATCCTTGTGGATAGCTTCAAAGGCACCCTGCCATGCCCACCACCCTTCACTCAACTGCAGCCGCTCTTGCACTCACTCCCTCCGCCTTCACGTTCCCCTCCTCCATTCTCAGCCATGTTCCCCTCACATCAACACCCTCAGTCACATCCTTGCGGATAGCTTCAAAGGCACCCTGCCATGCCCACTACCTCCGACTGAATGCTTAGAATTAATGCATCTGGGGTAGTTGCTGTGGGAGAATGCCTTTGAGGGATCCGCGATATGATGTGATTCTACTTAGTTTGGCTCTTGTAAGAGTGTTTTTTTGTGTAATATATATATTTCTGATATGTTATGATTATCTACATGTGTTACAACAATACACTTCAATGCCATGGACATCTAGTCTTTCATGTGAACCACTCACCTAACAAAACCAGCAGCATAATGTTCATGTATTTGCAATATAATACAGCTTGTCGTGTGCCACACCCACACTGCTCTGGATGTATCACCAAGAAGGAAATGATCCAGCACAAGCAGCTGAAGAAGGCCCCTCAAGGTTGGGGAAGATGGGTGGGGTGAAGGGTGGGAATGAGGAAGTTAGAGAGGAAAGGAGGAGGGGCGGTGGGGGCAAGGGAGGATGGAAGGCTAGGGAGCAACGACAGGAGGAGGTTTGGGTGGGACTGGAGCAGGTCTGGGAGCAATTGTGGCAGGGGGTTTGGGAGGATTTGGAGCAGGTCTGGGAGAAACAACAGCAGGAGGTTTGGGTGGAATCGGAGCAGGTTTCGGGGCAGCTGTGGCACGAGGTCCGGGAGGAATTGGAGCAGGTCTGGGAGCAGATGCGGTAGGAGGTCCGGGAGGTATTGGAGCAGGTTTGTGAGCAACGGTAGCAGGAGATCTGGGTGGGACTGAAGCAGCTCCGGGAGCAGCTGTGGCAGGAGGTTCGGGAGAAATTGGAGCAGCTGTGGGAGCACCGGCAGCAGGAGGTTTGGGCGGGATCGGAGCAGGTCTGGGACCGGATGTGGCTGGAGGTCCGGGGGGAATCGGCGGAGGTCTGGGAGGAGCTGCGGTGGGAGGTTTGGGAGGAACAGGAGCAGGTCTGGGAGCAGCTGCGGTGTGAGGTTCGGGAGGAACAGGAGCAGGTCTAGGAGCAGCTGGGGTGGGAGGTTCGGGAGGAACAGGAGCAGGTCTGGGAGCAGCTGGGGTGGGAGGTTCGGGAGGAACAGGAGCAGGTCTGGGAGCAGCTGTGGTGGGAGGTTTGGGAGGAACAGGAGCAGGTCTGGGAGCAGCTGTGGTGGGAGGTTTGGGAGGAACAGGAGCAGGTCTAGGAGCAGCTGCGGTGGGAGGTTCGGGAGGAACAGGAGCAGGTCTGGGAGCAGCTGTGGTGGAGGTTCGAGAGGAATCAGAGCAGGTCTGGGAGCAGCTGTGGTGGGAGGTTCGGGAGGAACAGGAGCAGGACTGGGAGCAGCTGCGGTGGGAGGTTCGGGAGGAATGGGAGCAGGTCTGGGAGCAGCTGTGGTGGGAGGTTCGGGAGGAACAGGAGCAGGTCTGGGAGCAGATGCAGCAGGGGGTTTGGGGGGGAGCGCCGGAGAGGGGAGGCTGGGAAAGGGAGGCGAAGAAGGAGGCGAAGCAGCAGGCAGAGGAGGGACAGGGGCGGGAAGGGAAGGAAGGGGGGCGGCGGAAGGTAGCGGGGGGAGGGCGGATGGTAGTGGGGGGAGGGCGGAAGGTAGTGGAGGGAGGGCGGAAGGTAGTGGGGGGAGGGCGGAAGGTAGTGGGGCCAGGGCGGGAGGAAGTGGGGGGAGGGCGGAAGGTAGTGGGGGCAGGGCGGAAGGTAGTGGGGGGAGGGCGGAAGGTAGTGGGGGTAGGGCGGAAGGTACTGGGGGGAGGGTCAAAGAGCGAGGAGGGGGAGGAGGGAGGGATGAAGGAAGAGGGGGAAAGGGAGTGCAAGGCGGGGGGGGTGGGGCTGGGGCGAAGAAACGGGCAGCAAAGGGCGGGAGCGGGGGAAGGGGTGGCGCACAGGGCAGTACTATGGCTGGAGGTGGCGGTATGGCGAGGGATGGCGCAATGGCGGATGAGAATGTTTCGCCCAGTGCCCCTACTTTCGCCTCCACTGCCGCAGCTGTTGCATTTGCTGCACTCGCTGCTGCCTCTGTTGCTGCGCTTACTGCTGGTCCTGCCGCCCTTGCCGCCTCCAAAACCGCCCCTACGGCTTCCGCTTCTCCCTTTTTCAAGCCCTTTTTCTCCAGTTTCTTCCCCTTCTTCGCGCCCTTTCCGCCCTTTCCGCCCTTTCCCCCTGCCGCATATGCCAGTGCTGATGCTGATGCGGGTGCTGGCGCTGGTGCTGGTGCTGCTGATGGCGATTCACCGCCGTTGCTGCTGCCACTGCTGCTGGTGCTAGACGAACCTGACGGACTTCCAAACGCCGTTTCTGACTGGACGTTGGTCTGTGTAACGTTACCAGAATCTGTTACCGTCGCCGTCTGACTGTTTGTCTGAAACTGGTACACCGTGGTGCCGCCACCGCTTCCATCGCTGCTGCTGCCGCTGATAGTGCTGCCACTATTGCTGCTACTGCCAATGCCGTTTCCACCCGCACCACCAGCACCATCAGCGCGACTTGTCTTGTCCTTACTGCTTTCTTGATGCAAAGCACTGCTTGTGGTTACAAATTCGGGAACAGTGGTAACCGGGTAACTCGCCTTTCGAGATTCGCCCTTGAGCACGGGCAGCTCGTTGAAAAAACGCAGGAACGCGGGCGGGGCAGGCCCGGAAAAGATCGGAACTGCCCCGTGCGTGGAATAGGGATCATCGAGGCGGGGAACGAGAAGCGGGCGGAGGGAGCGAGCAGGTGAAAGCGGGAGGGAGGAGAGGACAAGGATGAGGAAGAAGAGAATGGAGATGACGGGGGAAGAGGCCAGATCGAGGCGGGGAAGGAGCGGACGGGGCCGGCGGGAAAGAGCTGATTTGAGCGGAAGCGAGGCGACGCGGAATCGAGTAAAACACATTTGGCGAACTGAAGAAAGACTTTTGGCGAAAGAGACGAAGCGGAATTGAAATCTTGTTTTGACGATGAGAGAAAGAGGATTGTTGTTTGATTCCATTCAGGACCACGTGAGACAGGTCTTTCGTGCACCCCACGGTTCTCAGATGAAGATGAATTTCCTTCTACGAGGTTTTCTGAGCATTACTACACGTCGACTAGTCACTGCTTGAACCTCGGAGAGATCTCGGGCTTTGTAACGCGAACCAAACACCGAAACGAGCTGCGGAGGGGACGGAGATTGCACTAGAAATGTTTGTTTACCAGCGGGGAACCCGCTGTAGGTATGCGGTCGCCTCCCTGCTGCTTCAGAGCATTCAAATATTCCAACACGCAGAAACGTCAGCGAAATGATCGTATGTAGCGGCGGAGGTAGCGAGGCGGACGAGTAATATGTCACGCTCTCTTTGCAAAAGGGAATGGCTGTATTTGCCTTTGAGTCGCCACTCTCTCTTTGCAACGGTGAGTCTCTCTTCATGGATAGTTATGATAGATACTGGTGCCCTCGGTTCTCTCGAGAATCCGAAATTTGATGCATCAAACTTGCAACGCTGACTCCAAAGAAATTGGAGGTTCGCTGCCGAGCGTCGCGGTGGCGTTATACATCACGGAAACACACCACGACGCTCGGTAACGAACCTCCAATTGCACGCCTTTCCGAGTTACTCCTCATGACATGGCGTCGGCTAGTCTTTCCGATTCGGGAGCACCGCAGCGCACCCGCGTAACTTGTACGCGGAAATCGGATAGTTACGCCTCATGCTATGGTATCGCCTGCTCTCCCTCTTCGGGTGCACCGCGACAACTGTCGAGCTGACTGGAGTACATCGCTAACCATCTGGTATCGACCAGCTTCCAAAATCGGAAGCACCACGGTGCACGAGCAGTAAAAGTAGCGTTGCCGTGCACTTTTCGAGGCGGAATGGCGTCGATCGTCATAGCGAGTCTACTCAAAAGGAAGTGCAAACGACGTGTACCAGTGCGTAATATCGACAAGCAGCAGCGGTACCGCGGCGAATAGAGGAAGATACGAGAGAGCTGGAATTAAAAGTTAAGGTGGAAGAGAGAACAGGCCAGAAAGGAAGCAGCCATGGGATGGGATGAGACCTGTAATGCTCTGCCTTCAGACTGTAATTCTCCCCTTTCGGTGCTTTCAATGGGAATGCCAGCTTTCTGAGATTGTGATGGGAAGGGAGGCAATTGCGTGAGAAGGGAGGGGAGGAGGAGGGACGCATTCCTTTCGGAGGGGCGCGAATTTGGAATTTGGAAATTGGGAATTGAGAATTGTGAAATTGTGCGGTCGCGAATCGTGATTCCTGAACGAGGAGAGAACGGCCTCGCGATTCGACGACATGGCGCTCCGTAAGAAATTGATTCGCATTCGCAATGCAATGACTTGTGTGACAAGGTGAAAGCCCTGATTCTGCCAACCTGCCAACCCGGGGGCCAAGAAGGCCAAAGTTGGTTCAACCTTCCTAGTGTTGGTTGGCGCCTGTGATTTTCCCGAGTTTCTACCACCTCGTCCAACAACTTCGACACTCCTATTGGCTCACGGGCAATTACCGTCCTCACTCCCAACCAACCTTCCTAAGCTTGAATATCTTGGCCCGCGGGTTTTAAAGCGAGCAGGCAAAATAGTGACCCCCCCTTCTAGTTGGGTCCACTTGAAGAGTCATAGTACTGTTAGACTTTGTGTTCGTTTTTTTTCCACCTTCCGAAGGCGAGTTTCGTACTGAACAAAACATGTTTTGAATCCGTGCTCAATGTTGATTGGTGTCAGAAAAGCGTTGCATGAATGCACAAGCTTGTCGCAGAATTGCAATGTGCGTTTTCTAAACATTCTCACTGAACAACATTAGGCAGCCAGGCAGATTGAATACTTCAAACATCCAATGGCAAAGGATAAAGGCACAACAGAATTACGTGCAGGCGACAAGGGCTGTGAGAGTCACGAACTCATCATACACGGGTCCTGACCTGAAATGCGGCGATACCGCGATTGTCGTGCACAGAAATGCGACGCCTCACACAGAACTGAAATTCTTTCATTTTGGCGGGAACCAATCACATGTGCTTGATCTGTTGTCCATAACAGTACAGACTTGTAAGTTGGTTGTCAAAATTGTTTCTCTCGGCAAATTTGTCGTTAGCAATCTTTCAAACTGGGCCTCCCTTCACTATTTTGCCTGCTCGCTTTAAACTCTATATAACACCCTAAACTGTAGTATTTTCACCAGCGCCATTATATACACAGAAGTAGCTAAAGGCAAAAAGTCACCTTCTATGTTCTTGAATGTTTGCTGCTCTTCACCACTAGTATTCATGAGTTTTGCGCTCATTTTATCGAGCTTTACGTGGGAATTATCGTATGAAATTCATGTTTAGCCACCCATTGCATCACCCAAACACCTTGTACTCTTGTTCCATGCATTATGAATTATGCTCCTCCATGGCCACAGCTCACTCAAGACGCCAGAAGCATACATGGATGGAACTGTGACCTTGGTCAATGTGACTTTCTTATGTCTAGCTCGACAAGCAAATCTTGCCTTGTAACACGTTTTTGATATTGCTGCTGAGTGGGTATACTCTACAGAACCATTTTGGATTTCTTATATAAAAAAACATTTCGCATCCACTCTGTACACAACAAGGGTACATATTTCTCTATCATTTTACCCTAACGAAACTGTACTGAGACATGTATTTACACTGAGCTGCTACGAGGAGACGAGTTGGGAGAGACTGTGAGGCAAGGGTGGGATGAGTTGGGAGCACCGGCAGCGGGAGAGGGGTTGTTGGGGAAAAGCCTGGTGTGGTTGACCCTTAGGGTCGGGGAGGGGACGAAGAGGAGGAGGAGGGGGAAGGGGGAGGTGGTGTGGTAGTCGTGCTATTTGAAACGGGGGAGGGGAGAGGTTGTGGAGTGGTTGTTGTGTTGGGGGAGGGGGAAGGGAGAGGCGATGGGGGGGAGGTGGTATTGCCAGAAGGGGAGGGGAGAGGCGGTGAGGGGGAGGTGGTATTGCCAGCAGGGGAGGGGAGAGGCTGTGAGGGGGAGGTGGTATTGCCGGCAGGGGAGGGGAGAGGCGGTGAGGGGGAGGTGGTATTGCCGGCAGGGGAGGGGAGAGGCGGTGAGGGGGAGGTGGTATTGGCGGAGGGGGAAGGGGAAGGCAGTGAGGGGGAGGTGGTATTGGCGGAGGGGGAAGGGGAAGGCAGTGAGGGGGAGGTGGTATTGGCGGAGGGGGAAGGGGAAGGCAGTGAGGGGGAGGTGGTATTGGCGGAGGGGGAAGGGGAAGGCAGTGAGGGGGAGGTGGTATTGGCGGAAGGGGAAGGGAGAGGCAGTGAGGGGGAGGTGGTATTGGCAGAGGGGGAAGGGAGAGGGGATGAGGGGGAGGTGTTATTGGCGGAGGGGAAGGGGGAAGGCAGTGAGGGGGAGGTGGTATTGGCGGAGGGGGAAAGGGAAGGCAGTGAGGGGGAGGTGGTATTGGCGGAGGGGGAAGGGAGGGGCAGTGAGGGGGAGGTGGTATTGGCGGAGGGGGAGGGGGAAGGCAGTGAGGGGGAGGTGGTATTGGCGGAGGGGGAAGGGAGGGGCAGTGAGGGGGAGGTGGTATTGGCGGAGGGGGAAGGGAGGGGCAGTGAGGGGGAGGTGGTATTGGCGGAGGGGGAAGGGGAAGGCAGTGAGGGGGAGGTCGTATTGGCGGAAGGGGAAGGGAGAGGGGATGAGGGGGAGGTTGTATTGGCGGAGGGGGAAGGGGAAGGCAGTGAGGGGGAGGTGGTATTGGCGGAGGGGGAAGGGAGGGGCAGTGAGGGGGAGGTGGTATTGGCGGAGGGGGAGGGGGAAGGCAGTGAGGGGGAGGTGGCATTGGCAGAGGGGGAAGGGAGAGGTAGCGAGGGGGAGGTGGTATTGGCAGAGGGGGAAGGGAGAGGTAGCGAGGGGGAGGTGGTATTGGCAGAGGGGGAAGGGAGAGGCAGTGAGGGGGAGGTGGTATTGGCAGAGGGGGAAGGGACAGGGGGAAGGCCAGCGGAAGGGAGGGGGGGAGCAGCAGAAGGGAGGGGGGGAACGGAAGCAGAAGGAAGTGGGGGAAGGGAAGCAGAAGGGAGGGAGGGAAGGGCAGCAGAAGGAAAGGGGGGAAGGGAGGCAGTCGGAAGAGTAGGGAGAGGGGAGGGGAGGAGCGGAATCCCCCCCAAACCTCCTGTCAAACCTCCCGCCAGGCCTCCCCCCAGAGCTCCCCCAAGCGCCCCCAGCCCCCCTGCAGTAGCAGCAGCGATGGCCGCTGCTTCCCCCGCCTTCCACCCCTTCCCCTTCCCAGCCGCCTTTGCAGCCAACCCTCCCATGGCTGCACCGCTTGTCACGCCTCCCAAACCTCCTATCACCGCACCAGCTGCTGCAGCAGCAGCACCACTGGCAGCATTACTGGCACCAGGGGTGTTGCCACTGCCAGCAGCACCGGAAGAAGAAGAAGCGGACGGTGATGGAGGAGGTCGGATCGGCAGCGGCTCAAACGTGGCGGAATCGGTGGTGGCGGAACCAGGGATGGCGGAACCAGGGTTGGCGGGGCCAAGGGTGGCGGAACCAGGAGTGGCGGAACCAGGAATAGCTGAGGCGGAACCATCAATAATGGTGACTTCGAAAGGCGAGGGCAGTCCGGGGATTCCCCCTCCCCTCATCATTCCGCCCACGCCTCTCCGCGCATTAGCTACCGCAGCAGAAACGGCTGGATTAGCGGTGGTGCTTCCGGTAACCACGCTGCTGCTGCCGGCGCCGCCGCCGTTGCTGCTGCTGCTACTGCTGCTGCCGGGAAACATACTGCTGCTGTTGGCCATGGTAGGGAGATTTGAGGGCGTGGATTGGGCAGCGGAAAGGCGAGGAGAGGCGAGGAGAAGGAGCGGGAAGAGGAGGAGCAAGGAGAGGCGAAGGGGCCGGAGTTCCATGGCGAATCGAAAGAGGCTTCGATCTGAAGGCGGAGTACGAGCCATGGTACCGGATTCGTCGTAGATCGATGAGCGGCGGCAAGCTGCGACGCGTCACTGCAAGTAACGGTTACCAATTCAGGATCGACTCGACGCGTCACGTTGAACGTTCTGAAGACGGAGCAGCGGCGCGCTACTATAGTCAGTTCCGACTGACTTTTCTTGGTCACTGAGAGACGTTTTTTAAGCGAGTTTTTGAGGGGTTTCAAGAATTGAAGTGCTTTGTCTGTCTGGCGAGAGATCTCGAGAAGCGAGAGATGAGAGATGAGAAAGTGTGGTTGACGGACAGGTTTCGGCGGCCTTTTATGCACGGGAATAGCATTAGCATCGGCACCAGCTCCGCGCGCGGTGACATAATCGAGGCGATATGTTAGAGATAAAATCGGTGGTTGCGCTCTGAACGCCGGAATTTGTCTAACGAACGCCGGTGCACAAAGTGGTGCCGAAGCTGCCATGCGGAAGACTTGGCCGAGAACGGTAAAAGGGCGGAGAAATGCATCAGCATGAGGTAAAGCTAGCCGGCATCTTGCTCTGGTCGAGTCGAACCGCGTGCGGCGACCATTCTCTGTCGACCCCCGCTGCGAAATTTTCGCCTCAATAGGCCAAGTTTTGAGTTGAGGCTGCGAGCTTGAAGTCTATTCATTGAATACGGCGCCATGGTTATCGAACTGACTTCAGCACAGCTTAATATTTCGCTTATACGATCAACTTGACAGTTCTAACCTGGGACGCGTATTGATCTTGCCAGCCTGTACAAGGAGTGAGTAGGAGGAGGCGTACTTGTTCAGAGGTTTTCGAAATGGCGTCGTTTTTCTGGAAGCCTTGTGAACTGGTGATGTGATTTCAGCGGGACTGGCTGGGAAGTATGCATTCGAGAAATTGAGATTCCAGTGCTGCTTGATACGGCCGAGGCGCGGATGTGAGATTTGAAAATCGATAGAAATCGAGAAATCGAAGCGCGAACAGCCCGACTGACTGTAAAGTTTCGTGGTGGAGGCCGATAGACGAGTCAGGGACACGCGAGCGGAGAGAGTTTTTCCGTGGCGAAACGGCTAGGAATTTGACTGAAGCGAGTGTTGACGAAACGAATGGCGCAGATGGGCCAGAACACGAGATGGTTACCCGTTTCTACGCAATGTACGTGCGATCTGACCGAAAACAAAATTGGATCTCGCGGATGTTCGCGGCAAAAAGTACCTTTGATTGTTTCGCCATTTCTTGACTTCGCTAGCTCACTATCTCCGTCTCCATCTATCCGCGTCTAAATCAAACCCGATTCTCCAATTTGCTTGCATCCAGTCCACCACCTCTGCACGTTTATACCCCAGTAATTCAAGGTAAATCGAGCTTGCTTTGCCGGGTTCCATCCATCCCCAATGCTTTTGCATTTCGGTTGTCCTACGCTCCCATTCACCCTTCCATCCTCACCAACTTCCGTCGGAGGTCCTCGAACAGCGCATAGGCGGTGCCCAGCCGTTATCTTTAGGCCTTTGTCACTTAATTAGAAATTTAAGAGCTTGATATCTTGTCGTACAGGTTCGACCTGCACAGAGTCAACCTGGAACATGGCTGACGAGGAGATTAACTACGAGAGCGACGCGGGATTAGATTCTCTTTTCTTCACCCGGCCCAAGGGCCCGAATCCACCGCCCACGCCGTATCTCTACGTGGCAAACTGCGGTGCTGAGGCGGAGATGACGTATGCAGCCCTTGCTGACGTGTTCTCCTCCTTCGGCCACGTCCGCCGCGTCGTCCCGGCCGGCGCCGCCAATCTCACCCGCATTTTTGTCGTTTTCGGCGGGCGCTCGCGCGCGGAGGCCTCCGCCGCGACGGAATCTGCGCTGCAGGCGCTGAGCGGAAAGCCCTGCGCGGAAGCGGGCGGAAGGAAGATGCACATCCAGTTCGCCGTGGGAAAGAGATCCGCTCCGGTAGGCATTGTTTGGAAATTCTTATAAAAGAATATTAAAATTTGAACGAATCTAGGGTTGTTTCGGGGTTCAAGACGACGTCAGAGGTGCGCTAGTCGGATGAATCAGATCTGGAAGAAGCCAGGGTTCGGGGTTTACGTTCTCTTTATTCTTCTTCTTTTTATTATTTCCTTCGCAGGTGGAGCATCCGGTGGTACACCACAATGTCGACGCTCTTGCTATACCGGGGCTGTTCCTGCACCTCGATTTTGTCACACCCGAGATGGAACAGGTGAGCGAGACCAGGTTTCAGGGTTTAAGGCGAATAGAATCTCACTTTCCATCACAATGCCCCAGCCCCCCAGATCAATCACACTGCGGTGCGTTTTTGTCACTTCAAGAATTTGCAGGGTTTGGGGTTTAAGGCGGGAACCGTGTTATCTAGAATCACACGGCGATGGCATTCCAGTTACAATCCCAATGCCGGTGTGTTTTTGTCACTCCAGAGGCGGAGCGAGTGAGAGACAACACGCTCCGCTTGACTGAAGAGATGGGATTCATGCAGTGTGATTCGTGGGTTTGGTCTAAGCCCTTTCACCCGCCGCCGGTTTTTGAGTCGACTAAAAAACCGGAGCGAGTGAGAGACAAAACGCTCTTGATAGGACAGATGGGATTCACGCAGTGTGATTCGTTCGTGGGTATGGTCTAAGCCCTTTCACCCGCCGCCGTCCCGTTACTCTGCTGAAGAGTGTGCTTCTCTGCTCATATGTCCTTCCCAGGGCTCACTTTTGCCTCTCTCCTTCCTTGCACTCCCCATTCCTCCCCATCCCATCTGCTTTCCCCCTTCGTACCCCGCCCCCTCTCCCCCCTCCTCTCTCCCTGCCTCAAACCCGCAGAGCCTTTTGGATTTTGCGGATGGCAACGATTGGCATTATCTGACAAAGAGGCGCTCAGCACCATGGTTATACCTTCAATTACACTGTATGCAAAGCTTTTCTTACATTCTCATGCATCTATGTTTTTTAATGTTATGTTTTTACATCATGTGTCGAGTATGGTACTAAGTTCAGCACCACGGTTACGCCTTCAACTACACTGTACGCAATATAAGTGGAAATGATTCGTTAGGCGCCTCAAACATGGACGTATAGTGTTACATTCTGATGTGGTTACATCAACTGTGGTGGTATATGCAGCAGCACCACAGTAACGCCTTCAACTACACGAGCAAATCCATTATTATTTCTCTGTACACTCAATAGCTGTCGTTGTAGCCATGCTGTAAATGTTCCATTTTACAATGTTCGCTGGAAATGTCTCAAGATCTACAATGGAGTGGCTGGCATGTGGCTGGTATCTTACTTTTCCTCTTCCTTTCAGACATTGAGAAATTCAAGCAGACTGACCCGTTTCGTTGTTGTTTTAAGGGCGTGTCGGGAATCTTTCATACCAGATTGGTGCTTACCTCGTCCATCCCTCACCCTCTTTCCTCCCAAACCAACCTCCCCCCACCCTCCACTCCTGTCAGACTCGAGACATCGAGAAAGACAAGTGGATCGGCCCTCTGCCCTCAGAAGTGTCGGACTTTGTTTCGCAGGCAGAGCAGCTGCCCGAGCTCACGGGCTGCCCGGAAGTTTGCATGCCTCTGGACCAACTGACGGTGAGATCAGGGCGTGTTCGGGCTGTTTCATGTTTCATTCACGAGAAATGTTAAATAACGTTTCGGGTTGGTTTCGTGTGTTAGAACCCTCTCCTATCCCTCTCACCCTACCTCGCTCCCTCTCTCTCCCCCTCCCTCTCCCTCTGCCCCTCCCTCTCCCTCTCCCTCTCCCTCTCTCTCTCCCTCTCCCTCTCCCTCCCCCCCTTCCTCCCCCTCTCCCTCTCCCTGTGTCTCCCTCCCCCTTCTCTCCTCTTAGTTCCCCACAGATCAACACGCTGCATTCAAGGGCACCCTTCCCTCATTCTTCTCCTGTCCCTCCCCCTCTTGCGTTCCCCTTCCTTCTCCTCCCCCCCTCCTTGTCTTCGCAGATCAACGAGTACGGGGCGGGAGTGGGCCTGGCCCCACACATTGACACCCATGCTGCATTCAAGGGCGCCGTTCACTCCCTCTCCTTCATCCTTCCCCCTCATTTTCTCCCTCTCCACAGATCAACGAGTACAGGGCAGGGGTGGGCCTGTCGCCTCACATTTACACGCATGCCGCATTCGAGGGCGCCATGCTCTCGCTCTCCTTCATCCTTCCCCTCCTTTTCTCCCTTTTCCCTCTAAGCAGATCAATGAGTACGGGGCAGGGGTGGGCCTGGCGCCCCACATCGACACGCACGCTGCATTCGAGGGAGCTGTTCTCTCGCTCTCCCTGGCTGGCCCTGCGATTATGGAGTTTAGGAGACCTGTGGGGCCTCAACCTGTGGGGAAACAGCCGCTGGGGAAAAAGAAGGTTGTTGGTGGGAGCAGCAAACAGAGTGGGAGCAATGGGAGCAGTGAAGGGAGTGGGAGCAGCGAACAGAGTGGGAGCAATGGAAGCAACGAACAGAGTTGGAGCAGTGGGAGCAGTGGGAGCAGTGGGAGCAGTGGGAGCAGTGGGAGCAGTGGGAACAGCAATGGAAAGTGTGAGAGCAGTGACGGTGCCTGTTGCAGCAGTGACGACAATTGCCACAACAGCAGCACCAATGGGTGTTGCTCGATGAAAGCACAAGCAGCAGCAGGAGCAGAGGCAGAGGAAGGAGCCAAGTTAAGGGGAGAGACAGGGGAGTCGGATGAGAGGAGAGCGGAGGAGAATCGAGAAGAGGAGAAGAGAGGGGATGAGAAGAGGACAGAGGAGAAGAGAGCAGAGGAGAAGAGAGGTGATGGGAAGAGGGCAGAGGAGAAGAGAGCAGAGGAGAAGAGAGGTGATGGGAAGAGGGCAGAGGAGAAGAGAGCAGAGGAGAAGAGAGGTGATGGGAAGAGGGCAGAGGAGAAGAGAGCAGAGGAGAAGAGAGGTGATGGGAAGAGGGCAGAGGAGAAGAGAGCAGAGGAGAAGAGAGGTGATGGGAAGAGGGCAGAGGAGAAGAGAGCAGAGGAGAAGAGAGGTGATGGGAAGAGGGCAGAGGACAGGAGAGTGCTCTTCCTACCCCCTCGCTCCCTCCTCGTCCTAACAGGAGAGGCCCGATACGCGTGGTCCCACTACATCCCAAACCACAAGATCGATCACATCAACGGCCAGGATTTCCCGCGCGCTCCTCGCCGGGTTTCGTACACCTTCCGGAGGGTTCGGTTTGGGCCATGCGGGTGTGCTTATAACGAGTTCTGTGATGGTCCTAGAACGGAAATTTGTGCTAATGGAACAGGGTTGACTGATACGGACAGGGCGATGGAAAGTGGGGGATTATTGATGGAGGGAACAGGAGCAGAGGGGTTGCTGGTGAAGGAGAGGGGAAGTGAGGGGATGAGGGAGAGAGTGGAGGGTGGTTGTTGTGGAGGGAGTGTGGTGACGCACTCACACGAAGGAGTGGCGGAGTGTGCAGAGGAGGGGGAAGAGGAGGAAAAGAAAGAGGAACAGAGAGTGGCAGGGGCACCCGATGGGGAATCTGTGGTGCCGAACTCACACGAAGGAGTGCAGAGGGCAGAGGAAGAGGAGGGGAAAGAGAACACCATTCTCCCTCAAACCATCTCTCATGTTGATCCGTCCAGCACCCTGGAGTCCCTTCAAACCACCCCGGCAGTGGAGAGAGACTTTGTGCACAAGGTATACGACGACGCCATAGCGCCTCATTTCAGCGCCACTAATGCTGTTGACTCACCTCAACCGTCACCGCAACCGTCACCTCAAACCACCCCGGCAGTCGAAAGAGACTTTGTGCACAAGGTGTACGACGCCATAGCGCCGCATTTCAGCGCGACCCGCTTTGCCCGCTGGCCCAAGGTGGCCGAGTTCCTGCTCTCCCTCCCCGCGGGCTCCCTTGTTCTTGATGCTGGGTGTGGGAATGGGAAGTACCTCAATGGGGGGTTGCCCATCCCCCCTGCCCTCCCTTCTGCTGCCTCTGTCTCTGCGTCTTCCTCTTTGTCAACACCCACTTCCTCCTCCCCGTTCCCTTCCTCCTCCTCCACTCCTTCCTCCTCCTTCTCCTCCCCTTCCTCCGCCGCCCCTCCCCGCCCACCGGCCATTCTCATTGGCTGCGACATCAGCCCGCCTCTCGTCTCCATCTGCACCCAACGGGGCTTCGAGGCCTTTGTAGCGGACACCCTCTCGCTCCCCCTCGCTTCCTCGCGCTTCGACGCGGCGATCTCCGTGGCCGTTTTGCACCACTTGTCGTCCGAGTCCCGGCGGAAACACGCGCTAAGAGAGATGCTTCGGGTGGTGAGGAGGGGGGGTAGGGTGCTGGTGACTGTGTGGGCGAGGGAGCAGGAGAATCCGGGGTTGCTTGACAAGTGGACGCCGTTGATTGGTCGGATGGCGGATAGGTGGGTGGGGGATGTGGAGGCGGGTGGAGGGGATGAGAGAGGGAGGGAGAGAAGCGGGGAGAACGAAGGGAGGTCAGGAGGAGGACTGGGAGGGATTGAGGAGGAAAGAGAGACCAGTAACTAGGAGAATGCGTGCCCAAGGAGGGGTTTACAAGGAAAAGAGGTTCCAGGAGAAGAGGGAGCAACAAGGGGAGAGGGGACGAGTGAGGAGAGTGCAGCAGGTGGCAGGGGGGAGAAGAACCTAATTCTAGAGCAAGAAGGATGGGCAGGAGAAGTAAGGCCAGGGGGGGAATCAGAGCAAGGGAAAGTGACCGGAACGGAAGCTTCCCAGGAGTTTCTGGTCCCATGGCACCTGCCATGTCATCGAGTGGAGATAGGCTCGGCAGCAGCGGCACAGCACGTAGCCTCGGGGTTTGCTCGGCGGGATGAAGCCAAGGGATCGGTGGTGTACAACCGATATTATTATGTTTTTACTCGAGGAGAATTGGAGAGGTAAATATCATGCCTTTGTGTGCTTGATGTTGTTTGTTTGTTTGTTTTTTTCTTCTTACTGTCTATACTGAAGTTATTTTTGTGGTTCTGTTCATGTTCTTCCTGGTGTTCTGTGCAGGCTCATCACAGAGATTGGTGGTGCATCAATTGTAGAAAGCTTTTACGACAAATCGAATTGGTGTGTGATAATGGAGAAGCTTTAGAAGGTCCATCGCCAACAGTAAATAGTGCTAAAGACTCATTCATGGACCACTGCAGTACAGGAAGTTGCTCAGTTCCCTTTCTGCAGGACATGCAATACTGTTGTCTCATATGAAAACAGGCTGTTTGCATGGCTGGGGTGGTTGACCAAATCAGTCTAAACTCTGAAGTATTTAATTCCGACTTCAACATGGGCAAACCAAGTTGAAATGCATGTACCTACTGGTTGAAAGAACTGTAGACAAGCTGACCACGTCATCGGTTTGAAGGGATGCAATGAGGTATCGTCTGTTTAGTGGTAAAGTGCCATGTTCTTTGCTTCTTTGTGGCTCCCTTTCCTTCCCATCTGATGGCTAGTGTTGTACCTGAATCTTGTGGTCAGTTGTGTTCTGGCAATTTCATTGTGACCAATGAGCAAGCTGACCTTTTTCACCTGACCAATCTTTTCGCTGAACGCTGGCGCCGCTTGGGCTCAAGGAAGGCTATTCCAGCCAATCAGCGAAACGTCAAGGTCTATCTAGTTGCTCCTCCTGATCGTTTTGGGTTTGGTTGGTGGGGTGGGGGAAACAGGGCGACTTGAACAGATGAGCTTTGTTCGAGATTTGAGCACCAATAAAGATAACGACGCACGTGCGATTATCTCCAGGTTTATGGGAGTTCAGCTGATCGGCGGAGTTCAAAGTTGCGCGTTTCCCCGTCATGTCGGCAGAGTCCGCTCCTTGTGGATGTGATGCAGGGAGAGGGGGGAGATGGGGGGAAGTGGGAAGGCGGGTCTCCTAGAGATCGCATCAGTTTGTGGCACTTTTTGCGTGTCGTTCTCCGCGACGCAGTTGTCAGGTGACCGTGTCGCACTGATTTTGTGGCTTACTGTGCTGCGCTGTTTTGCTGAGGTGGCTTCTTGAACCTGTCGCACACGACGATCGCCGCCAGCGACGCATAGAGGGATGTGGAAACAAAACCAACGTGGGCGATTCGCCAGGAACGGGTTTCCTGTTATCGTCGATTCGATGACTTGAGGACTTCCCCTAAAGCAGCGCAAAATCTGAGACTGTTCCGCGGAAGATCCTTTTGAAGCTTGTCAAGAATGCAGTTATCGCATCCTTGCAACAGCTCAAGACTCAGCTTCCTGGAGAGTTTTCATCCGTACATCAAGCGAAAGTAAACAAGCAATGCCATGCACACTATCTTGTGGTCGAGTGGAGCAGTGGATGATGAGTTTGTCTTTCAGGTTGGCAATTGCTTGCCAGATCTGGCAACCAGCCTTGCAGCCATAGTGGCGGATTCCAGCAATCCACATTTTCAAGAAGAGTGCTCCAAGATATTGGGTGTTGAGGACATCAAAGATGTAGAACCTGCCATCTTGGAAAGGCTGAGTAAGATTTCACTGACATCTCAAGATAGGGGGAAATAACTGCCTTGCAAGCGTCAACTGAAGATTGTAGACGAGATGGATGTGGATTGGACGCTTGATTGATTAATGAAAGCCATTCATGCACCACATTGCATTTGGGGAAGAAAATTTAGCAGCATTTGGATGTCAAGCTCTTGGAACGTCTTAGTGGTACACGAAAATGTACGGTTGAACAGGGAGAACGGTAACGAGGATTACTTTTCAAGGCCACGAAGGCATATTTGGCTGACGCGGTAACCCGGAATCACACGTCGTTCAGCCCAATAAAGCGCTCTTGAGGGACCGGCCCAGCCCATGCTATCAGCAGATCACCTTCCTTCCCTCACTCCGGCGTCGATCTCATTGGCAGCATGTCACAGTCTGCCTTTGGATCTGCGAATGTGGATCCATGTCACCTGTCATGAAATCAAGCTGGCAGTTTTCAGATGGGCATTTGCGGCGCGCAAGCTCGGGCAATCAGCGGAGGGGTCTGCCAGAGAGGCAAGAAGTGTGGCGCAGTGTGGGGGAATTGAGCGCGTGGATGCGGCGGAGCTTCGCATGACAGGGCGGAAAGGTGTTGAGAAACCGAGGCGGGCTCGGGCAGTCAGAGCCAAGACTTAGCTGATTGCTGCCATTCAGTGTTCATTCATTGCGGTTTCGCCCAGAGTTTCGAAAACTAGCCGGTAACCACTTTAATGGCAACACAGTTTACCCGTGGCGAAGATCGCTGCTATCGCAAAATTGCTGCGCTTTCTCGCAGTGTGAAACCCAGGTTGCACGCGAACACAAGACGGGCAGCATGTGAGCTTCCATGGAGCTTCCCCCCCTCCACCCACACCACACCAATTTCTGTCCCCCGAGAGCCATTTTGTTAGTGACTGTGAAAGATCGGTGAAAGATCGGTGTGCACAATGTACAATGACTTCGCCATTTCGTAAAATCTATGTATCCCGTTTTCGTTTAGACTGTCGCGAAGATCGTGCACACGCATATTGTCGAGATCGGATGGCTCAAACTGCCACATCGATCGTGCGATTGGCAGCGCGGGAATTGAAATCGCGCCACCAGTGGCAGCCACGATCGATCGCCGTCGCATACTGCCGGCTACTTTCGATGTGGTAACAGGGCGACATCACAATTTGTCGGTGGGCGACGCGGAATCCAGCCTGAAATCGAACCCATCAGAAACCAACATGCGAAAATGCACGACACGCCAGCGAAGCACGGCTCCTGCGCTACCACGCGTGTATCGCTGTTGGCATGGAGGTCCCCAACTTGCAAATCCGGTCGTGTCCCAATTGGCTCGGTGAAGCAGCCAACACTGCTCATGCAGATTGATATCCGTTTTTCGTACGCGATGCATACAATTTCGGTGTTTGGAGCCGATCCTCCCCCGGTGTTTGCAGCATACCGTAGCTCAGTTCCTCATCCGTTCGTAATTCCAGCTTCAGTATGTGTTCGTCTCTCCGCGCGTCTGGTCAGAATCAGCTTTTGTGCGAGCAACAATTTTGAGAGGCCTTTTTCTCCTCGACGTCTTACAAAAGCTCCCTCTGAACTCCAAGCTCTCGTTTTCAGATTTCGCAGTCCAAAGCTTTTGCAATCGAATTTGAATTCCACAATTTGGCTCCACAGGACCTCATTCACTAATCACCATGAACTGCCAGACGTCTCCGTCGTCTATTTTCTCCCCGTCATCTCTTTCCTCCGCAGTTATCGCTCCCTCCTCCTCTCTCGTCTGTTCATCACTACCCCGTTCCTCTCCCCTTCCGCGTCAGCTCAATTCTCACCTCAATTCGTCCACGACCCGCTCCCATGCCGCTTCTTCCGTGTTTCGCGGCGCGTTTGACGGCCTGCACCGTCAGAGGCTCCTCGGAAATTCCTCCTCGTTCTATCTTTCTCACTCGGCCGCCTTCCATGAAGCTTCCGACCGTCAAATTCAGACTCCATCGCTCTCTGTGAGCCCCACTGGCGAGGCCGCTTCTTGCGGCCGGCACGCGGTCGTGATAGCGGTATTCGAGCGTTTTACGGAGCGGGCGATTAAAGCCGTGATGATGGCTCAGGCGGAAGCTAAGGTGCTCGGGCGGAAAAAGGTCGCGACGGAGCAGCTTCTACTCGGCCTAATTGCGGAGAATTTCGCGAGTGATGGGAAACCTGGCGGTTATCTCGGCTTGGGGATGACTATCCGCAACCCGCGAGGTGCCGTCGGCGAGTTGATTTGAGACGGCCGACTACCAGCCGCAGGGGGTCTGTCGGCCGGCAAACCTGCGTCGGAGGTGCCGTTTTCGAGCGCCAGCAAGCGGGTGTTTGAGAAGGCGATTGAATCGCGGAAGCATCGTCACAACTTCATCGCGACAGAGCATCTGGTGTTGGCACTGGTGCAAGTGGAACAGGAAGGAGCGACACTGGTGATTGCGAGGTGAGAAAAGTTGAGATGCGTTGACTTTGGAGTGAACATGTGAGTGTTAGTGGCTGATGTGTTCCAACACGCGCATCTGGCGGTCGCGCTGGTGCGTATAGAACAGGAGGGGGCGGCGCTGGTGATGGCGAGGTGAGAGGTTTGACTTTGGAGTAAAGAGGTGAGTACTAGTGAGTTATTTGTTCCAACACCGGCATCTGCGGTGTCAAGCTGGTGCTTGTAGAACAGGAGGGAGCGACGCTGGTGATGGAGAGGTGAGGGGTTTCTAAAGACGACACATGGTGAAACTTGCAAACATAACATGGTACGTATCATCATTTGCAAGTAGAAAGCAAATTTCCATGTCTTAGGGGAAGCATCGTCATAACTTCATCGCGCTAGTGCAGGTGGAACATGAGGGAGCGGCGCTGGTGATGGCGAGGTGAGAAGAGAGTTGAGAAGCACGACCGTAAGATGGTATTCGGTGCACGCGTGAGGAATAGGAGGTGATGTGCTGGTGCAGGTGGAACATGAGGATGCGGCGCTGGTGATGGCGAGGTGAGAGAAGGGCCCCTTGCACCGGGTGTCAAACTGTAGGGGGGTAAACATCAGCTACAGCAGCGGCTTGCAACGTTGCGTACAACATTGCCAGCAGCAGGCAGCGGTATTGACTCACTCGCTCATCTGAATTACTCTCTCTGTCTGTCCCTCTCCTCTGTTGACTGCGTTGACTGTGTTGCCTGCGTTGACTGACTGACAGCCTGAGAGTGCAGCCGCATCGCCTGCACGAGGCAGCGTTGGCGCGCTCAAGGGCGAGTTGGACCGGGACGGGCGCTCCTCTAACCCCCTCGCTCTCCCCTGTTGACTGCGTTGACTCTCTGTGTTGACTGCGTTGACTTTGTTGACTGGCAGCCTGGGAGTGCAGCAACACCACCTGCACGAGACAGCGCTGGCGCGGCTCAAAGGCGAGCTGGACCAGGACGGGCGCTCTCCTCTTCCTTGTTGACTGCATTGACTGCGTTGACTTTCAGCTTGGGAGTGCTGCAGCATCGCCTGCATGAAGCAGCATTGGTGCGCCTCAAGGGCGAGCTGGACCGGGATGGCCGCTCCTCGGAATTGATCACCAACCCCTCCTCGCGTCCCTCCACCAGCCCCACCAGTCCTAGTAGCAGCAAGAGTCCCAGTTCGCCAGTCCGCAAGGGGCGTGGGAAGAAAGGTGAGAAGGGAAAACCGATTTCCTGTGTTGCGCGGACTTTAAGTGCGAATTCGGCGAAATAGAAACGAGATAAAGTAACGAAGCAACAGGAACGATATCAACTAGCAGATTCATGTAACCAATTTGTATCCGATTCTAAATAGAACCATAATGAAAGCATTGCTCGTTGGAGCGGCTCAGGTGCAGAATTTTTGTGGCACCCAAAATAAAGGCGTCTAAAAAATGGTATCGCTTAAGTCCGGCCTTCTGTGATCCGTTTTCCCCTCCTCAGCTTCCATATTCCTTCCCCCACTGCTCTGCAGTAGCGGTGCAAAGTGCTATAACGCAGTTCTTCTGCACATTAGGAAGGCCACGACAGTGCAAAGTGGTGGAAAACTAGGAACATTTGTCGCTGAAAGGATGTGAAGAATGTAGGAACATTTTGTTAATGTTTTCTCTCTCTTCCTCCCAAGCTATTCGCACCCACAAATTCCCCCACACGCAGCAGCGCAGCAGATCTCACCGATCTCACTGGCAGTGATGGAAGGAGAAGAGCTTAGGAAATTCTCATTTCTTTCCTTCCATTTCCTCCCGTTCCCACATCTCTCCACTTCCCGCACCAAGCAGCAGCGCAGCAGAGCGCGTTGGAGCAGTTATGCACGGATCTAACAGCCATGGTTGCGCAAGGGGAGATCGACCCGTCCCACCCCACGCTACCCCAACCCACCCTACCGCATTCCTCCCTATCCCACCACCAACCAGCAGCGCAGCAGAGCGCGTTGGAGCAGTTCTGCACGGATCTAACGGCCATGGCGGTGCAGGGAGGGATCGACCCCGTGATTGGCCGAGAGGAGGAGGTCGCCAGGGTGGTGCATGTGCGTGTTTGTGCTGAGATGTGATTGTAACAGGGATAGTGGACGAGTGGGGGCATCTAACGGCCATGGCGGTGCAGGGAGGGATCGACCCGGTGGTTGGCCGAGAGGCGGAGGTTGTCAGTTTGGTGCAGGTGGGTGAAGTGCGTGATTGTGTGGAATTATGACTGGTTGCATGACTCTATGGAGCATCTAACGGTTATTTTGGTGCAGGGAGATATCGACCCGGTGATTGGTCGAGAGCAGGAGGTTGTGCGGGTGGTGTAGGTGCGTGCTTGTGCTGAGATATGACTGTAATGGGGATAATGGGTGTGTACACCGAACAAGCATTGCGGTGCAGGGTGAGATTGCTCCTGAGTTGGCTAGCACTTATGCATTCCCCAAAAACCTCTCTTTTCTATATGCATTGGCTCTCTCGGAAGTCTTTCGATTCCGCTATTCAGCATGCCATAAAAGGTTGCAGAATGAGTGACCAGTATCATTCACTGTTGGTGCATCGCGACTGCTATTCACACTGTGAAGTGTCGTTTGAAGAGCAGTGGTGATGCATCAGCCGTGAATGCGAATTTGAAGGACTCTCGAGAAAGCCAACGTATATGGAGGAGAAGGGCTCTCAAAGAACACGCAAGGGTGTTAGCTAACTCCTAAACACAAATCTAGTATCGTTGGTGGCCTTGGGAGTTGGCAGCATTCAGTATTCGACAGCCTAGGGCTAAATCCACTCTCGCTCTCGCACCAAGAACAACCCGCTGCTGCTGACAGAGCCAGGGGTGGGCGGAGGAGACGTCTGCGTTCCTGATTCAACACTTTGTCCCTCCCTTTCCTCCTCACCACTCCTTACTCCCCCCACTCCCACTTCTCCCCTTCCCCTCGCCCCCAGATCCCCGCTCATCGAACCAGCAACAACCAGCTGCTGCTAGGCGAACCAGGGGTGGGCAAGACGGCTTTAGGTAGCCCTCTTAATAGCCTAATTATTTTCCCTCTTTCTACTCTCTCCCACCTGTCCCCTTCTCCTCCTCCTCAGATCCTGCACATCGCACGTGAAACAACCCTCTGAACCAATCGTTTGCTACTCGTCACCCTCTCCCTCTCACCTCTCCCCTTCTCCTCCCCCTCAGATCCTTGCTCGTCGCACCGTGAACAACCCTCTGCTGCTGGGCGAGCCAGGGGGGGCAAGACGGCCATCTCCCCCTTTTCTATGCCTCTGTTCGTCCTTTCGTCCCCTCTCTCACTCTTCCATTCTCCCGCCCTCCTCTCTTGCTCCTTACCCCCTCAGATCCAAGCTCGTCGCACCAAGAACAACCCGTTGCTGCTGGGGGAGCTGGGGGTGGGCAAGACGGCCATGTATAGCCCTCTTTTCACGCAACCGCTTCCCCCTGTTTCTCACCTCCCAATTCTCGCGTTTTCTCCTTCTCCTCCCCCTCAGATCCTCGCTCGTTGCACCAAGAATAACCCTCTGCTGCTGGGCGAGCCAGGGGTGGGCAAGACGGCCATAGCGGAGGGTTTGGCGCTGCGCATCGCCGAAAACGATGTGCCACCGTTCCTGCAGGTGAGAGGTCATGTTGCTGGGGTGGAAATGGGGTAGCAGGGGCACGTTGACAGCAGACGGCCATAGCGGAGGGTTTGGCGCTGCTCATTGCCGAGAATGATGTGCCGCCGTTCCTAGGTAAGTGCCTCACAAGGGTGGCTGCAGTAGGGGTCAGTTGGGTGGTGTTGTTGCTGTTGAGTGGGTTTCTGCCAGTACAAGGCTTGGCAAATATCATGGGGGGTGGCCAGGACGGCCATTGCAGAGGGGCTGGCGCTGAGGATCGCCGAGAACGACGTGCCACCGTTCCTACAGGTGAGCGGTGTTGTGCTGCGGAGGGAATGGGTTGACAGGGGGACAGGGTGCATAGCAAAGGGGTTGGGCAAGGCAGCCGTAGGGGAGGGCTTGGCGGTCAGGATTGCCAAGAACGATGCACCGTGTTAGTTCTGCAGGTGAGCGTTTTGTGAGCTGGGTTTCTTGAAGGGTCGCTTCAAGTGTGCGGTGGCAGCAATGGAGAGGTGGTGATAGGCAAGGTGTCCATTGCATCACTCCTCCACCAGAGCTTCACGGTGGCCGTAAGTGTGCTCTCCATTGTGGGATGGTTGGTTTAAACCGTCTCTCTTTCTCCCCTTCCCCCATTCCTTCCACCAGGGAAAGCGCCTTCGGTCGCTGGACATGGGGAGGGTGATGGCAGGAGCAAAGGAGAGGGGGGAACTGGAACTCAGAGTGACTATGCTGGTGGCAGAGGCGGTGGCAGCAGCGGGGGAGGTGATCCTGTTGATAGATGAGGTGCATACGATGGTGGGAGCTGGCGCCGTGGGGAGGGGACGGGACGGCGGAGGATCGGGATTGGACATCTCGAATCTGCTCAAGCCTGCCTTATCACGCGGCCAGATTCAGGTGAGAGTCATCTGCTGAGTGCTGTTGAGAGAGGTTTAGTCCAGTGGTGCTGGGTAACAGAGGTGGTGATATTCCTGGTGATAGACGAGGTGCATGCGATGGTGGGGGCTGGTGCCCGTGGGGAGGGGGCGAGATGGCGGGGGATCGGGATTGGATATTTCGAACCTGCTCAAGCCTGCTTTGTACAGGGGGCAGATTCAGGTGAGGCAGAGGGCGGTTGAGTGCGGTTTAGTGTGTTTGTGCTGGGTAATAGAGGTGGTGCTGATGATAGAAGAGGTGCACACGATGGTGGGAGCTGGAGCCGCAGGAAGGGGACGAGGCAGGTGGGGGTTCAGCTTCAGACATCTCTAATCTGCTCAAAACTGCTTTGACTAGGGGAAAGATTCAGGTATGGATGGCAAGAGTGCCGATTCCAGTAGAGTGCGATGATTATGTAAGATATACACAACACCATCTGTGCTAGATCTTCTGTTTTTATGTCACGAGGGGAACGGTGCTCACTCATCAGTGCATCGCCACCACAACCACCAATGAGTTTTGCGAGCACCTCGAGAAGGACAAGGCTCACACCATACCATAGCCTCGCATCTGTCCAGTGCCTTATGCCTTCCCATTCCTCTCTCCTCTCCTCTTCCTTCTTCCCCCCCCCCCCCCCCCCCTCCATATCAGTGCATCTCCACCACAACCACCAATGAGTTTTGCGAGCACCTCGAGAAGGACAAGGCTCTGGCTTCGCATCTAATGCACTCCCACTTGCCCCCACCCTCCCCTCCCGCCCGCTTACACTCTAACCCCTCGCTTACACACCTTCTCCTCCTCAACCACCAGTGCATTGCCACAACCACCACCAATGAGTTTTGCAAGCATCTGGAGAAGGACAAGGCTCTGGCTAGGCGCTTTCAGCCAGTCACTGTGGACGAGCCTTCAGAGGTGAGTGGGAGGCTGCTATAACGCAGATGTGGTATGGGTGATTCTTTATTGGGGAGAAAGTCAATGCGCTGGCCAGGCGCTTTCAACCCGTGACTCTGGACGAGCCCTCAGAGGTGAGTGGGATGCTCTTTTATCGTGTGCGGAGAGGGCCAAAGCATTGGCCATGCGGTTTCAGCCGCTGACTGTGGAAGAGCCATCAGGGGTGAGTGGGTGGCTGTGTTTTGAGTCGACTCAAAAGTTTCAGCCGCTGACCATGGAAGAGCCATCAGGGGTGAGTGGGTGGCTGTGTTTTGATTCGACTCAAAAGTTTCAGCCGCTGACCATGGAAGAGCCATCAGGGGTGAGTGGGTGGCTGTGTTTTGAGTCGACTCAAAAGTTTCAGCCGCTGACCATGGAAGAGCCATCAGGGGTGAGTGGGTGGCTGTGTTTTGAGTCGACTCAAAAGTTTCAGCCGCTGACTATGGAAGAGCCATCAGGGGTGAGTGGGTGGCTGTGTTTTTGTACCGGGGGTGGGGTGGATTCGACATGGGAAGAAGGACAAGGCTTTGGCCCGAAACTTTTGCAAGTGTGCTCTCACCAATTCCGCCCTGGAAGCTGTATGAGACGTCTCAAAACTAGCTGTATGAGACGTCTCAAAAACTCCTTTTTATCAGTGACAAAGCCGAAAACCTTATGGAAGCCGCTCCAGTTTTTATCAGTTTTTTTCTCCAGATTCCCCCCTCCCAGGAAGCAGCCATCCTCCAGAGCCTGAGGCCCGCCACAAGTGCACTCTCACCGACTCTGCCCTGGCAGCAGCCGTTTCCCCCTCCTCTCATGTCTTGTTCCTCTCTCTCCTTCCCCCCTTTCCTTTTCCCGCCTCCCAAGAAGCCGTTCTAGCCATACTTCCAAGGTCTGCGCCACCTGTACGAGGCACACCACAAGTGTGCTCTCACTTCATGGCAGCTGTGGCCCTCTCCCCTCTCCCCTCTCCCCTCTCCCCTCTCCTCGCGTCTCATCCCCAATCGCTGCCTGCCCGAGGGGACATTGACCTGATAGACGAGGCGGCGAGCAGGAGCAGGGTGGAGGGCAGCCGGGGGAGGGGAGCAGGCGACTCACAGCACCACCCCTTGTCCCTTATTCTCCTCCGCTCCCTCCCTAAACCCTGAAATCCTCTCAGGAGGCGGCTCTGGCGATTCTGCACGGCCTGAGGCACCTATACGAGGCACACCACAAGTGCACTCTCACGGACGATACTCTGGCAGCAGCAGTCACCCTCTATGCTTGTTTCATCCCCGATCGCTGCCTGCCCGACAGGGCAATTGACCTGATAGACAAGGCGGCTAGTAGGAGCAGGGTGGAGGGCAGCAAGGGGAGGAGGCGGCGGGCGAGTGGGGTGCTGGAGAGGGGTGCAGAGGAGTACTGGCGGGAGATTCGCATGGCGCAGGCTGCACACGAAGCGGTGAGAATGGGTGCAATGCGGTGAGGGTGGTTCTACTGCGGTGCGGTGGAAATGGGTTCAATGCGTTTAGATCGGGTTGTTCTTGGAGGTAAGTGCCTCAAAGCGAGAAGCCTGTAGGAGCAAGGTGGAGGGTAGCAAGGGGAGGAGGAGGAGGGTGAGTGGGGTGCTGGAGAGGGGTGCAGAGGAGTACTGGCGGGAGATCAGGATGGCGCAGGCTGCACATGAAGCGGTGAGAATGGGTGCAGTGCGGTGAAGGTGGTTCCAATGCGGTGAGGATTGGTTTGATACAGTTTTGTGTGTGGTGAGACAAGGTTCTCGAGGGGTTAAATACTGAGGTTGTAGTGTGGCAGTAGAGCAGCGGCAGGGGAGGCGGCCTGCCGCAAAGCTCTCACCTCATTCACCTCTTTCCTCTCCCTCTGCTGTGTTCCCTCACTCCTCATCTGTTACTCCTCATCTGTTCCCTTGCTCCCCTTTTCCCTTGCTCTTTTGCTCCTTCGTTCACTTGCTCCCGTATTCCACGTGTTCTGTTTCCTCTCATCTCCAGGCCTGTGCCTGCTGGAATCCCTCAGACTTCTCTCTTCTTTTCTCTGATTGTGTCTCCCTTTGCAGGCACATGTGCACCAGAATCCCTTCACCTCGCTCACCTCCTTCCTCTCTCTAGACTCACACTCACCCCAATACCACCACCGCTGCTGACGCCGCTGGTGCTTCTCACCCCCCCTTCTTCCCCCAACCCCTTGTTTCTTTCTCTCTTCCACAGGCATATGCTCGCCAGAATCCCTTCACCTCGCTCACCTCATTCCTCTCTCAAGACCACGTTCATGCCGACACCACCACCGCTGCTGATGCCGCTGCTGCTGCTGGTCGCTCCAAGAGTGGCATCACTGGCAGTGACAAGGAGGACGGGTGAGATTCACCACTCACACACACGCCAATATCACCGTATGAATCACACACTTAACACTCCCATTAATACCACCACCACCGCTGCTGCTGCTGGTCGCTCCAAGAGTGGCATCACTGGCAGTGACAAGGACGACAGGTGAGTGAAACCTACCTCTTACCGTCACGCATAATCATACTCATAATGACACCACCATCTGAGTCTCACAAACAATCACACCCACGCTGACACCACCACGGCTGCTGACGCCGCCGCTGCTGCTGGTCGGTCCAAGAGTGGCATCACTGGCAGCGACAAGGAGGATAGGTGAGATTTAGCGTCGTCTGACTCTCACAAACAACCACACCCGCATTAACACCACTACAGCTGCTGACGCCGCCGCTGCTGCTGGTCGTTCCAAGAGTGGAATTACCGGTAGTGACAAGGACGACAGGTGAGATTCGCCACTCCTCGATCGTCTTACTCTCACACACGCACGCACACCCACACTGACAGCCTCGTGTCACTCTCACTCACTCAACACTCCCATCGACACCACCACCGCTGCTGACGCCGCCGCTGCTGGGGCGTTCCAAGAGTGGCATCACTGGCAGTGACAAGGACGACAGGTGAGGTCTGCCACTCTCCCATTGTCGGACTCACACACTTCAACTCTCATATCAACAGCACCACGGCTGCTGACGCCGCTACCGCTGCTGGTCAGTCCAGGAGTGGCATCACTGGCAGTGACAAGGACGACAGGTGAGATTCGCCACTCCTCGATCGTCTTAGTCTCACACACACTCGCACCAACGTCAACACCATTGTCTGTCACCGTCCTCTGGCACATTGATCCTCTCCAGCCACCTTTTTCTTTTTTTTGGCTGATTTTGAAATTTCTCAGAAATTGTACCTCAAAAATTCATTTGGCACATTAATCCTCTCCAGCCGCCCATCCTTTTCCCTCAATCCTCTTCTTTCGTCCTCTACCCCTTCCACCAGCCCCACGGAGATCACAGCAGAGCACATAGCAGCAGTGGCCGCCCACTGGACCGGTATCCCCCTGCAGCAGCTCTCCCTCTCGGACCAGCAGCACCTGGCAGGGCTGGAAGAGGCACTAGAGACGCGCGTGGTGGGGCAGGGGGCAGCTGTGCGGGTGATAGCACGGGCGGTGCAGCGAGCGAGGGTGGGGTTGAAGGGGGAGGGAAGGCCGGTGGCGGCTCTGCTGTTCTCGGGACCTACCGGGGTGGGGAAAACGGAGTTGTGCAAGGCACTGGCAGCTCACTACTATGGATCGGTGAGTTTGATTCACTGGTAATCTTGGAGTCAAGCTGATTGGATGCCATGCTGTCAGCAAGCTGATTGGATGCCATGCTGTCAGCAAGCTGATTGGATATATGCATCATTCCCATCGAATGCATCGGGTGGGTGGATCGCAGCTTCCCCCCTCATTCCCCTCCATCCTGCATTGCCCTCGTTCATCCTCTGCCTTCCAGGAAGATTCCATGATTCGTCTAGACATGAGTGAGTACATGGAGCGCCACGCTGTCAGCAAGCTGATTGGAGCGCCGCCCGGCTACGTGGGGTACGGCGAGGGCGGCAAGCTCACGGAGGCCGTCCGCAGGCGGCCGTTTTGTCTTATTCTCCTGGACGAGATCGAGAAGGCACACCCGGACGTCTTTAATCTCCTGCTGCAGATTTTCGAAGACGGGCGGCTTACTGACTCGCAGGTGGGTGTTGTTTGTCTGTTGTGAGGTGGGGGTAGCTTGAAATGTTGATGTATTTTATCTACTGTGTCCGGCTGGTGCTTTTGATACCCTCAAAACTGCTGATACCCAAGCCTCTATACCACTGCATCGGTTTTGTCTGATGCTCCCACCCTCTGATCCTCTGGTTTCCTCTGATGCTCCCAAGTCTCTATTCATCACCCACCCACCCACCCACCCCGCCCTTTACCTCTTCACCCTCCTCTCCTTTCTTCCTTTCTGACCAATCCAGGGCCGCCACGTGTCGTTCAAAAACGCCCTGATAGTCCTGACGTCCAATGTGGGCTCTCAGGCCATTGCAAGGGGGGGCACCCACCGAATCGGCTTCCTCACTCCAGGAGAATATGCATCTGCTGATGGGAATAGGGGGAGAGATGGGGGCAGAGAGGGACGGGCGGATGCGGGGCGGTATGCGGCGATGAAGGAGGTGGTGATGGAGGAGTTGAAGGCGCATTTTCGACCGGAGCTCATGAATCGGATTGATGAGGTGGTGGTGTTCCGAGCACTGGAGAGGGAACAGGTGAGCAAGTGTGTGTGCGTGTGCGTTTGCGTGTTCGTGATCGTCTCGGAAGGTGGATGCAGGGCAGTATGCGGCAATGAGGGAGGTGGTGATGGAGGAGTTGAAGGTGCACTTCCGGCCTGAGCTGATGAATCGCATTGACGTGGTGGTGGTGTTCCGAGCATTGGAGAGGGGAACAGGTGAGACTGGCGCGAGAACAGGTGGGTAAGAGAGGTGGGAGCAGGTGCACGTGTGTATGTCTCAGCACAAGTGGGGCGGTATGCAGCGATGAGGGATGTGGTGGTGGAGGAGTTGAAGATGCACTTCCGGCCAGCGCTCATGAATTGGATTGATGAGGTGGTGGTGTTCCGAGCATTGGAGAGGGGAACAGGTGAGCAAGAAATCAGGTAAGGGGGGGTGAGCAGGTGAGGTGAGACAGGGAGGTGGTGATGGAGGAGTTGAAGGCGCACTTCCGTCCAGAGCTGATGAACCGGATCGATGAGGTGGTGGTGTTCTGAGCATTGGGGAAAGTGCAGGTGAGCGTTTGGGGGGGGGGGGGTTGGGGAAAGGTGTGTGCGTGTGTACGTCTGAGAAGGCAGTATGCAGCGATGAGGGAGATGGTGGTGGAGGAGTTGAAGGGGCATTTCCGGCCAGAGCTGATAAACCGGATTGATGAGGTGGTGGTGTTCCGAACTTTTGAGAAGGAACAGGTGAGCATGCAAGAAGGTGAGAGAAAGTGTGTCTGTGTGTGTACGGCTCAAAAAGGTGGATGCGGGGCGGTAAGCGGCAATGAGGGAGGTGGTGATGGAGGAGTTGAAGGCGCACTTCCCGGTCGGAGCTGATGAATCGGATTGATGAGGTGTTGGTGCTCCGAGCATTGGAGAGAGAACAGGTGAGAACAGGGAAAGGGCATGTGATGCAGTTGAGTGGGGAGAGGAGTTGAAGGGGCGTTTCCGGCCAGATCTGATGAACCGGATTGACGCGGTGGTGGTCCGAGCATTGGCGAAAGAACAGCTGAGCAAGGGAGAAGTGTGTGGGTGTAAAGGGGAATGCAAGGTTGATGAACCGGATCGACGAGGTGGTGGTGTTCAGAATTCGGGAGAGGGAACAGGTGAGAGAGGGATTGGGGTGGGCATGCGGGAGAGGGAACAGGTGTGCTTGCATGTGGGAGAGCAGATGAGACAGGGAGGTGGTGATGGGGGAGTTGAAGACGCATTTTTGGCCTGAGCTGATGAACAGGATCGACAAGGTGGTGGTATTTCGAGCCCTTGCAATGGAACAGGTGAGCATGGTGTGAGAGGGAACAGGTGAGTGTGAGGGAGAGAGAGAACAGAGGAGTGTGTGCAAATGAGGGAGGTGGTGGTGGAAGAGTCGAAGACGCACTTTTGGCCAGAGCTGATGATCCGAATCGACGAGGTGGTGGTGTTCCGAGCTCTAGAGAGGGTGGTAAGAGCAGTAAGGAATGTGAACCAGGTATCTCCATGGCTGAAGCGTGCTTCACAACAAATGCGTTATTCACGCATGCACACCCTTGTTGTGCATAACGCTTCAGTCTTGGAGAATCATGGTTTCACATTCCTTACTGCTCTTACCACCCTCTATGCCACCTTCCCCATAAGCCATCCGCACCTGTCCAGCCTCCTCCACCTCCCACGTCTCGCCCATCTTCCCACCCTCACCCTCACCATAACCATCTCCCCCACCTTCCCTCCAGATCCGAGTGATTGCCAGCACGATGGTGAAAGAGACGGCTGACCGATAGACCAAGAGGTGATTCAACCTGGAAGTGTCAGAGCACTCGTGCAGCAAACCCCTCTACCCTGTTTACATTTGCTTCCTTGTCCCTCCACTTGTCCCCCTTCCCTCCAGATCCGAGTGATTGCTAACATGATGGTCAAGGAGTCGGCTGATAGACTTGCACAGAAGGGAATCAACCTGGAAATTTCTGAAGTACTCATGGAGCGGATTTGTGAGGAGGGGTACGACAGGGCGTATGGGGCGCGTCCACTGCGATGTGCCGTCACGCGATTGGTCGACGATCCAATCAGCGAGGCTGTGCTGGCAGCGGGGGAAAGCAGCAGCAACACCAGGCACCGCCACCGCCGCGTCAGCAGCAGTGACCTGTCGGAATCTCTACCATCCGTTCCTTCGGTGCTGCTCCCTGCGATCGCAGCTGACGCCAAAGAAGATGACACCAGCGCACCCCTGGGTGACGTCAGCGGGGTCAGGGAGGGCGCGTTCACAGCTGGCGACACAGCACTGGTGGATGTCGGGGAGGATGGGGAGCCGGTGGTGATCCGCCTGCCTCGCCCTGACGTGTGTGAGATGGGTCTGTGCCTTCCGTTTCTCAAGCTCCCTGCTGCCGCTGCTCCCACTCTCTCCCTCCCTGACTAAGGGGCACGTAACAATGGCGACGCAGTCATGCTTTCGTGCGGTAACCAGATTGACTGTGCGATGGGGATGTGCCTTCCCTTCCTGTAGCTGCCTGCCGCTGCTGCTCCTTCTCTTTCCCTCCCTGAGTATCTCTCTCTGCCTTCCTGACTAAGGGGCATGTTTTCTGTGTATAATAACCAGGGTGACTGTATAGGTGGTCAATGCTCGGGTTGGTGGTTATGCACTGCCAAGGGACCCAACAGCAGGTGGTGGCTACAGCAGATGGGGTGAGGAGGGGAATAGGGCAACTGTAGATTTGTATATACCCGGTTGATGTGTGTGGGATGGGAAAACTACTTTCATTTGGTGATTGGTCTGTGTAAGGCATTGAATTGAAGGATGGTGGCACATTATGAGCATGATATCACGTTGAAATGAACTGAAGGTGGTGGGTGGTTTCAGAAGGAGTCTGTTTATGCAATTTTCATTGTGTTTAGGGTGTCTGAGTGTTGAATCAATTCGTAAGAAAGTAGTGGAGATTTAGCTTCTATTAGACTACTAGCTTGTTTTGTACAGTTGTTATGAGTGCAACTGAGTTGAGCTATAGAGGGAAAAGAATAAAATCAGCGAATGCATGAGCAATTCGTTACCGTAAATAGAAAAAAAAAAAATCGATAACGGTAACGCGCTTGCGAAAGGATGCCCTAGGTTGGGGGAATGTACAATAACCTAGAGTTTAGGGAAAATCACACTTCGGGTGTGCCAACCAACGTTTTAATTGGCGCTGATACCACCGTGGATTGTAAGAGGCTACCGTATCGCCCCGGATATAACCGCAGGCCTATTAAAAGCGCATGCGCTTATATCTGGAGCAATGCGCTTATGGCCGATCCTCAATTAGAAGCGCACCCCCTGTAAAAACTTTACTTATTATAAGCGCATGCATAATTGTATTCTAATTTCCGTAACGATTTTCCGCTTTGCAGCGAGTCTACCCTACAACCCTCACGAGAAGCGGCCGACAAAATCGCACGTTCTGTTCTGCCTCGCGAAAAACCGAAACGGGCGCGAAGCTGAAGCTGACTGACAGCACGAACGTGGGGGGGGGGGGGGGGGCTCGACCGTGCTCCTGCGCTGCGAGCGACCGGATTCTGTGCCTCGCAACAGTGGGCCGGTGACACATTCCCCTACGGAATGACGTGTCCTCGCCCACCCTTGCGCTGGCAGACAATCGCGCGATTCTGATCTATGACGCGCTAACATTTCGATTCGACTGGAATTGCAAGACTAAGATGCACATTTTGGTGCGCTTAAAATATATTTCTACATTTGTCATTATATAAGCGCATGCGCTTATGCCCGTGACCATAAACCTGGAGATAACAGGAAACCCGTTCCTGGCGAATCGCCCACGTTGGTTTTGTTTCCACATCCCTCTATGCGTCGCTGGCGGCGATCGTCGTGTGCGACAGGTTCAAGAAGCCACCTCAGCAAAACAGCGCAGCACAGTAAGCCACAAAATCAGTGCGACACGGTCACCTGACAACTGCGTCGCGGAGAACGACACGCAAAAAGTGCCACAAATTGATGCGATCTCTAGGAGACCCGCCTTCCCACTTCCCCCCATCTCCCCCCTCTCCCTGCATCACATCCACAAGGAGCGGACTCTGCCGACATGACGGGGAAACGCGCAACTTTGAACTCCGCCGATCAGCTGAACTCCCACTGGAAGTCTGGGAAGGGGCACGAGCAGGACGCGCAACTTCCAACACCACACGCGCGCAGTCCGCGGCCGTGCGTTGGAACAAGGAGCTGCGCCGCAGGGGATTTGGTTGGTGCAGCTCTCCGTCGCCTAGAGCTCCACGGGAGCTCCCCCTCGCAACTCGCGTTTCGCCAGGCCCTTTCCAGTCGCAACTGGTCCGCCTTGGCCCCGTTGGCTTGTCTGCCTCGCCTGCTCCTCATAGCGGCTCTCCCTTAGCTTCGCGTGATCCTTCTTTCTTACCATCTTTCCGTTTGGGCCCCCAAAGTCTTTCCAGAGATTTCAATCTCACCTTGATTGTTGACTCGGTTTTGTTACGCCTGGGCTGGCCAGACATTGTTGTCGATAGGTTAGAAGTCGACTCTATCTCAAGATATCTGCTGTTTCTGGTTCGACCTAGGTAGCTGTCTTCTTTAGCCTAACTTATTCCGAGAGCTAACTTAGCACGTGCTTAAACCATGGATCAACTAGCTGTCGTATTAGATTCTGCGTCAAGCAGGCGTAAGTTACTACCCAGGGATCCGTCCCCCACGAGAGTTTTAGTAAACCGCGAATTGTCTGACAGACTAACCCGAATCCACCTGTCACCATCATGGCCGTTGGTATGGAAGGCGCAGATGACGGATTCCTTATCCACGTGGCACATGTGGGAGTTGCCAGCTCAGCGAGATAGTCTCTTATCTTTTCAGGTTGGGATAGACGATTTAAGGCTAAGAGCGTCTGACGGCGGTTGGGCTCCCTTTCTGCTCGCTCTCTCCGCGGTCCAACCGGGGTCGAGATCCTTCTGCGAAGCTGCAACAAGACAGCTTCACAGCTTCCTATTGTGGGACGACTGGCTGAAACGGCATGGTTCGGAGGATGATTTCTCTCAGTTGACGGTGTTTCTCGGGGAGGTCGCTACTGGGGGGAAGGGGTGCATGGGAGGATGCAGAACAGAGAGAAGACATCTAAGCTCGTTTCCTCGTCGGCTTGACAGCAAGTATCCGTTGAAGTTGGAAGCATTCGTCGGATCGCTATCAGTTTTGCAATCCAGCCAGGGTTCCGATAGTCTAGACCGACCAAACGGTGACTCCGCGTCCTGGTTGAGGCGATATCTGAGCTGCTGGTCAGCATACAGTTCGGTAAGCACCATTAATATAGTATCCTTGACCTGAAAACCAAGTACAATTTTCGTTTATTCACTCGACACCTCTGATATATTCGTCAATGGCTAAAGTCTCAATGTGGCTTCGTTACCCTTGGTGCTCATTTTCCAGGCTGGGTTGAAGTCTCACTCCGCGCTACGGCAATCCCTAGAAGCGGGACAAATACCCACTCTCCACGAGTACCTCCTTTACCGAGCGACAACAAACGTCGCCTGGCCGACAATGCTCCTCGCAGCGACTCAGCACGATCTCCCCCCTCTCTCCGATTCCTCCTTCCAAGCCCTCCTCCCTCTCATCTTCACCGCAGCCGCTCTCACAGCTCTTTCCGCCGATTCCCTCCTCGTGACACGTGGCAAGCTCGCCACGTCAGCGTCCTTATCCGCTGCGCAGCTGTTCGACGGGGAGACGAATCTTCTCCTTCAGAACTCCCTCGCCGTCGCGTTCGCTGCGGTCGCCAGGCGGATCGAACTGGAGGCGGAGGAATTGACCGAAGGTGACGAACGCGCGTCGTTGCTGGGGTTCGTGCGCGTCGCCAAGAGCGCCATTCACGGCGTCATGGCGTGGTACGGCTGCGCGTGGCGATTCCGAGCTCAGCCGGCTGCGAAGACGGCGACGGCTGAAGCCAAAGCTGATTCGGATGATGAAGAGGAGAAGATTACCGTGGAGGGATGCGGCGTGGAGTTAATTAACGACGTGCCTCAATGGCTTATGGATGAGATCGAGACTGCGGCTGGCGACTTCGCTGCGTTGCATTAATGGGGGAGTGTGGGGGAGGGCCTTGTTTGACAGCTGAGGTTGGAAGTTGAAATGGGAGGATGGGCAGGGAGGGAGCGTCAGCGTCAGTGCTGAAACGCCGGTTCTTTTGTCCCGATGTTGAACAGGAGGCGCTGCTGATGTCCGTGATGCTTCTGGTGCTTCCGGTGCATCAGGTGCTTCTGTTGACTTTGATGGTGAAGATCTTCTGATGGTTTCCAGCTGCAACAGTACCCTTCGGCCAGTGATTTGCACTGCAATCTCCTAACTGCTGTTGTCCTGCCTGCCACCTCTTGTATCTACACCCCTCTCAGCTGCATATCTAGGTCCTTGCATTATAACTGTGTGTGTGTTGGCAGTCATACTTAACCGTAGGCTAGATGAGAGCAAAGTAAAAAACGGTTTTGGGCCATACTGGGTGGTATCTAGTCTTCTGGTGATTGGTGCCTGCATGCGAATGGCATGAGAGGCACATTCCTCCTGTTCATGTGATAGGTCCTGTACCCTGTACAGAGCTACGGAACAGTGAGCCTCTTCCCTTGTTGTAGGGGCTGGAGGTCAGTTGCTGGTGGGAGCTATAGCTGCAGCCTCAGCAGCCTGATGTTGCATCAACTCCTGTTTAGCATAAGCTATACCTGAGCCAGATGTTATTACCATTCCACGGATGTAGATGTTTAATCAGTTGGTCCAGGTAGTTGATGTGTGTTCTGAAATACTGCTGTACGTTTTTGTCATTCCACAAATCACAGCATCAACTAGCAAGGAACAGCAAAAGCGAGGTAGTGTATTCGGAAACGTAAAACCAGACTTTTTTGTGTCGGTCGGATACGGTAGATATGTCTCTTCCTGTGCTACAGCTCGCGATCTGACACCCTTCCCCATCAGCGCCACGGCTCGTTGATCAGACATGGGTCGAAATCGACCCAATCAGTCTGGAATCTAGATTTATGGAAGCAGATGTTGAAAGGTTCTGTCAGAAATCCTAGAGTTCCCGTCGCTCGCTTCTTGACGCCGCCGTGCGGTCTCTACTAGTCCGTGAATCGGTGATTCTCGTTTCAACTGCAACGTCGCCGTACGTGCTGTAGACCTTCGAGATGAAACCGGGGATGCGGGGAATCGTTGGCAGTTGGAATGACCGAGCGTTCAGGGCTTTAACGAACGTGCTGTACCCTCCGAATTTCCTCCTGATGGGCGTTTTCTGGACCTGGTATGTCCTCCTGTCGCACATCCGCGTGGCGTTTCTGCGAAATAGCTTCGTTGATTCGCGAAAGCCGTTACCAGGAAGCTCTAGATCAGAGTCGTCGCGAGCAGAAGGAGTAGCAGTTGGAGGGGAGGATACGGAGCATGGAGATGACGGAAGAGCGTATGAACAAGGAGGAAGAAAGAGACGAGGAGAAAGAGGAGAAGGAGAAGGAGGTGAAGGAGAAGGAAGAGGAGGAGGTGTAAAGGGAGGAGCGCCGAGAGCAACGTGTATTGTGACTGGGGTATGTCATTTGAGTCGCCTCACGCACTGAGAGAGACATGCTTTGTGACTGGGTGAGGTATGGCATGTGATGTGATTTTGATGGGATGGGATGCGATGGAATGAGATGGGATGGGATGTTGGGATGTGATGGGATGTGGTGTGGTGTGATTGGGAGATGAAGTGAAGTGAAGTGATGTGATGTGATGTGATGTGATGTGATGTGATGTGATGTGATGTGATGTGATGTGATGTGGTGTGGTGTGATGTGATGTGATGTGATGTGATGTGATGTGATGTGATGTGATGTGATGTGATATGATGTAACGGGATGCGATGTTATGTGATGCGGTGTGGTGTGGTGTAGTGTGGTGTGGTCTGATGTGATAGTCTGGCCAGTTGGAGATGTTGTGTGTGATTCTTTTCCTGGTATTATTGCACTTTTGTTACGGTTGTCATATCCTGACGCGAACTTCGTGTGATTTGAGAATCACGCAACAATTCAACTTTGTTCAGTCCTTTTTTATTTATTGACCGTTATATTGAAGATTGCTTGTTATATTGGAAAACGAGCTCCTTTATTGAATGATTGGTTTGACAGGCCACGTCAGGGCTAGGGAAGGAGGCAGCAACAGCGCTGGCATCTCTCGGCACTTTTCATGTGGTGATTGGTGAGATTTGGATGATCAAATGCAGATGTGGATGATGGGTGGGATGTGCATGGTGCGTGTATGCATGATTAGTGAGATGTGGGTGATGGGTGAGATGCATGATGGGTGAGATGCATGATGGGTGAGATGTGGGTGATGGGTGAGATGCATGATGGGTGAGATGCATGATGGGTGAGATGTGGGTGATGGGTGAGATGCATGATGGGTGAGATGCATGATGGTTGAGATGTGGGTGATGGGTGAGATGCATGATGGGTGAGATGCATGATGGTTGAGATGTGGGTGATGGGTGAGATGCATGATGGGTGAGATGCATGATGGTTGAGATGTGGGTGATGGGTGAGATGCATGATGGGTGAGATGCATGTGAGATGCATGATGGGTGAGATGCATGTGAGATGCATGATGGGTGAGATGTGAGTGATGGGTGAGATGAGGATGATGGGTGAGATGAGGATGATCAAATGCATATGTGGGTGATGGGCGAGATGTGGGTGATGGGCGAGATGTGGGTGATCAAGTGCATGTCTGAGAAAATGGATATCTCCAAGTCGTTTTTTCCATATCCGAGCATCAAATCCCTTTCCCATCACGGCCACCCATTTTTCCCAAAGTACTTAATTGTCACCATATTTTCTAAAGGTATTTAAAGTCAAATTCCTGTCAACTGCTGCACCCCCTGTGCTGGTGCAGGGTGCCGCTCCTTCAAGCGTGGTTACCAGGTGAGATTGGTTTGGGGATTTTCTGTGTTAATTTTTGTTAAGATGGTATAACAAAAGTTGCATGAGTCTTTTCAGTAGTGTTCATGCCCGCAAATTTGTAACACGAGCAACAATCATTGTCTCTTGACTTGGATGCTTTCCCATTCAGCCTCCATTATAATCTTCCCTACTAACCCACGCCATGTCAACCCTAATCCCAATCTTCATGTGTAGACCATTAATCTGAAATATCTGTATTTCAAAACCATGTTCTCCAAACAATGCCGCCCGGCATTCCGACATGTGCTCCTCCCCTGAAGGCAGCTGCTGACATCCTTCGGCAGCATCCCCACGCGTCCATAGAAGTCCTGCCACTCGACCTCTCTCGGCCGGCATCCGTTGTCCGTTTCTGCCGCCTCATGCGCTCGAGACTCGGGTTGGATGGGGTGATGATTGGTGCAGAGGAGGGGATTGGGAAGGAGGGAGAGAAGGTGGAGAGGTTTTTGAAATTTCACAGAAGCAAGTCTGGTGACGCGGGGATTTTGGGGAAGGTGGGAGAGAAGGGGGAGAGGCAGCAGCAGAGTTCAAGAGAGGGAAGGGAGGGGGGCGAGAAGGAGCGGAGGGACAAAGGGGGTAACAAAGAGGAGGGACATAATGGGGGGCTAGAGGAAGAGGGGACAGTTGACGAGGAGGAGGAAGAGGAGGTGGAGGAGGAGAAGGAGTCTCTATGGGGCCAGCAGCAGCAGCAGAAGGCGCGTGTGGAGCAAGTTCCCTCCCCCTTGCCTCCCTTATGTCTCCTTGTTAACAATGCGGGCATCCTTTCTCCCACCGCCTCCCACCGCTCTGCACCTGCCGCTCTACCAGTCGACCGGTACCATCCCAGCTCTCCCTCCCCCCTTGCGCGATGGTGACTGTAGCATGCTAACCACCATCTACCCCCACCCTGCTCTTCTCACGCTCCACCTGCTGCCTGCCACTCATAGTGAATCCGCTGAGTTGTTGTCCCCTCACCAGTCATTTCAGCATGCTAGCTTTCAACTACCTCGGCCCTGTTCTACTCACACTCCCTCTGCCGCCGCTCTCGTATGCCAGCCCATCGTTCGGATCCCCTCTTGTTTCCCTTGCTCATTCGCGTTTGCAGCATTCTGACAACCGACTATCTCGGCCCGGTCCTGTTCACACTCCGCCTGCTGCCACTCACCATACCTTCCTGTCCTTCCCTTCCGCGTAATGAATACCCTGTGTTCTCCTCTCCCGTCGTCCTCTGTCACTGCAGCATGCTAGCCACCAACTATCTCGGCCCGGTCCTGCTCACACTCCGGCTAATACCCCTCATGGGACGAAGACCGCCCTCCTTACAAGCACAAGCACAAGCACCTGGAGGGAAGCACATAGGCGCGCGTGGAGAGTCAGGCGAGGGAAGAAGCACGCCTTTGTCACAAGCACAAGCACAAGAACAAGCACAGGAAGGAGAGGGTTTGAAGGAATCGGAGGAGAGACTGAAGTGCCGCATTGTCAATGTGACATCCTTCACGCATCGATCAGGTAAAGCAGAGTCACATCAAATGTTTCATATTTTTGTTTTTTTGTGTTTTTTTAATAATAAATTAAGCACTGTTATTAGAGCTATTAAGCCACATAAAGTTCCACGAGTGCTCTTTTAATCGTATTTTATGGCATCGAAGGGGAGGAGGATGAGTTGCTGAATTGTCAGCACACGTTTCTTTGTCAAATGTTTCACTCTGCGCCTCCCCTCCTCTCCCACCTCCTCCCTTCCTTCCCCCCCCCTCCCTCCAATACCAGTGCGCCAGCTGTACGTGTCTGACGTGGCATCTCTGGCAGCAGGCGCTGCTGCTCCTGCCAGCTCACCTTCACCTCTGTTCTACCCTGCAGCCAGCATATACCAGGCCTCCAAGCGTATGTATCTGGATACTAGATGGTGCATGCTTGCATTACACGCTACTGTCAGTTCGCCCCCGCCTCTGTTCTACCCTGCAGCCAGCATATACCAGGCCTCCAAACGTATGTATCTGTATGCGTGCTGTGTGCATGGTGCATGCATGCTTGCTTGCGTGCGTGCACCCCCCCGCCAGCACACCATCATGTTGTTCTACCCTGCAGCCAGCATGTACCAGGCCCCCTGGAGCGTATGTATCTATATGTGTGTGCCTGGTAGGCGTGTGTGTGGTTATGCGTAATATCGTGCATGAGTGCGTGCTTGCATGCTCCTGCTGCCACACACCACCACCATATCTTTCTACCCTGCAGCCAGCACATACCACGCCTGTAAACGCATGCATTGCATATGTCTACATCTAAACGCATGTGTGCTGTATTGCAGCCCCCCCTGCTGCCTGCCTGCCTGCCTGCCTGCCTGCCTGCCTGCCTGCCTGCCTGCCTGCAGTGTGTCTGCTCCTCTTCTCATGGCACCTCCACAATCTCATGAGGCCAGTCTTGAGAAGCCCCGGAGACAATTCTTTAGCTAGACGTTTCAAGGTCTGAATCCGTTTCCTCTGCCTTCCTGCTGCCTCTCTTCTGCCTGCCTGCATGCAGTGTGTTTGCTTCTCTTCTCGCTGCGCCTCCAGCATCTCCTCCAATCAGACCCCTCCACGTGTCACATTTCTGTGGTGTAAGTCTTTCGCTCCCTATACTTTCTCTTGTGCTTGCTTCGACTGGCCTCACCTCAACTGCCCTCGATTGATTTCCATGTGTTCAATGCGCTTCTGCCCTCAAGTTCCCTCATATACTGTGTCCAATGCGCTTCTGCCCTCAAGTTCCCTCATATACTGTGTCCAATGCGCTTCTGCCCTCAAGTTCCCTCATATACTGTGTCCAATGCGCTTCTGCCCTCAAGTTCCCTCATATACTGTGTCCAATGCTCTTCTGCCCTCAAGTTCCCTCATATACTGTGTTCAATGCGCTTCTGCCCTCAAGTTCCCTCATATACTGTGTCCAATGCGCTTCTGCCCTCAAGTTCCCTCATATACTGTGTCCAATGCGCTTCTGCCCTCAAGTTCCCTCATATACTGTGTCCAATGCGCTTCTGCCCTCAAGTTCCCTCATATACTGTGTCCAATGCGCTTCTGCCCTCAAGTTCCCTCATATACTGTGTCCAATGCGCTTCTGCCCTCAAGTTCCCTCATATACTGTGTCCAATGCGCTTCTGCCCTCAAGTTCCCTCATATACTGTGTCCAATGCGCTTCTGCCCTCAAGTTCCCTCATATACTGTGTCCAATGCGCTTCTGCTCTCAATTGCCCTGCTTTCCTCATTGCCCCTCCCCCCGGCCCCATAGACCCCGGTATGATGCCCTCATTCCTCGCATCCACAGTCAACACAGTCAACACAGTCAACGCAGTCAACACGGTCAACACGGTCAACACAGTCAACACAGTCAACACAGTCAACGCAGTCAACACAGTCAACACGGTCAACACGGTCAACACAGTCGACGCAGTCAACGCAGTCAACGCAGTCAACACAGTCAACACAGTCAACACAGTCAATGATCTATCCTCTATTTCCTTCTCCCCCTCCAGCCCAATAGACCCCGGCATGGTGCGCACTGCAGTACTGAGGGAGCTGCCCTCGTTCCTCGCGGCCACAGTCAACACCCTCTTCTCCCTCCTCGGCCTCTGTTTGCTCCCTCGCGCCCTCGCCCCTCTCTTCCTCCGCGCCTGCACAGCTCCCCAGGTATGCGTTTTGACACCCTGACTCGACTTCCACCCCACAAACACCCCATTCCTCTCTGCTGTTTCTTTTTAGCCTTTCAGAAGCCTCCTCTCGCTCCTCCACGCCCTCGTCCCTCTCTTCCTCCACGCATCCCATGTTCTCCAGGTGAGTTCTTACTCTCCCCTTGCTTCGCCCCTCCTTTGCCCCTCCTCGCTGCCTACTACCCCAACCCCCACTTCCCCCTCTGTCCCTTTTTGTACCTCTGCTTACTCCCCGACCTCTCCCCATTTCCTGTTGGACCCATGATGATTTCCTCCTTTCCTTCTTTCCCTCCTTCCCTCACTTCTCTTCCCTCCCTTCTCTTCCCTCCCTTCTCTTCCCTCCCCTTCCCATACTCCTCCAGGAGCAAGTAGCAGGGAAGTACCTGTTTGGAACCCACGCAGTCCCACTTTCACCCTCCCGGCTTGCCCAAGACACCTCTCTCTGCAACACACTCTGGCGAAACACTCAAGACCTTCTTACCCAATGGGTGTCCAGATGAACTTGACGAGTTTCCTCGGATGCCATACATCTGTTTTGTCTACCAATAAAATGCTAGACATATATTTTTGTCTCCTTTTTCCAGCTTTGGAAATACTGTTACATTGAGTGTACATACGGTAAGATGATATCAGCAATATGGCACCTGTGTACACTTCTCGTGTCGTCTATTGTTTTTCCTCAGGAGCTTTTGGGGCTGAATTCGCGTTGACCTCGGTAATACCTGGAGCTCTCTCCTCTCCTCCCCTTGCCTTCTGAATCTCCGCGTTCTCCGCTTTTTCCCCGCCGCTGACAGCGCCAGGTATAGTCTGTCAGAAATTTCAGTATCCATAAGCATGGATAGTCGGTGAGAAGGAACGAATACGATTAATCTCCAGAAGAGTATGGAGGGATCGGAGAAGTACCAAACGCAAGAAAAACACTGAAACGCTCATCACAGCTGCGGCTCCTTGTATCCCGTATAACCGTCACAGCGGTCATTGTGTTAGCTACTGATTCCCCAGATTGGGAGATTGACACAGGATGCTGGATAATGCAGCGGAGACCTGCCGGCATCTCGGTCGTTACCGGCTCCTGACGGTCAATGCAATCATGAACAAATCCTGACGGTCAATGCAATCATGAACAAGTTCTGACGGTGAACGTGATCGTTACCAGGTCTGGCTTGTAGATGTTGTGGACGACAGATGCTCCGGCGAGCAGCGACGCGATCGCGACGGCGTATGATCGGATCATGACGGTTTACGGACACTCCCGCGCGAGGCGGCTAGACTGAGAAAGTACAATGACACCGTGCTACCAAGAGGGTCTGGACAAGACTACCTAGCTCTGGAAAATAGCTTTCGAACATAAGTGCTCCATCATGTGAACAAGTTTCGCTAACGTTTTCTCAGTCTAGCCTCCCTGCTTCCGAACTGATAAGACGCAAGTTACGCCGTGCGCCACGGTGGGTGGATTGAGGACGAGCAAGAGCATAGAGCATGTGGGTGGATGGGGTGGAGGGAGAAACACAACCTACGCCTTATCATCGACACCCGACGCTTCGCTACAAACGCATCCGCACTTTATTTTAAGAGTGAGAGAACTAAGATTACTATCTAAGCAATACAATACAATGAGCAAAGGCATGAGCGAATTGTTCAATAGGCGAAGTCTTTCGGGAACGGGAACGCGCTCGCGAAAGGGTGCCCTGTCGGGCCAGACGTCGAGGATGGGAATTATGGAGGCGTAAGGCCGGATCGCGGGTAACCAGCCGAACTGGGAGGTTTGGGCGCGATGATTGTAAGGAATTTTCCCGAATTCCTTATCGGGGTTGACTGCTACGCGTACAACCCGATTTTCGGACTCTGCACGTTCGGCCGACATCAACGATGCCGAGGCTCCTCGCGTCGCCTTCGGCTCTTCGATCGCCCAATCTGCACCCAACCTCGTTTCCCGAGGTTCCCTCCGAGCCAGGGTAGTCACTTCCTATATTAGCGCGTGCCTTCATTGTATCGTCAGTTCATTCAGTCACAGTCTCGTTATTCGTTATCCCGCGCACTCTCTTTTACAACTCATAACACCTGGTATCAGAGCTCTTTTCCTAGTTCACCCCGCTTTTCGAGGGTAGTTTGGTGGCACGGGTGTGGCCGGTACAAGGGACTGCAAAACTGTTGGCTGCAAGGTTCGTTAAAGCCCGTAGGCAAAATAGTGACCCCCCCCTTCTAGTTGGGTCCACTAGAAATAACGTGACACACTTTGTATTTTGGAGGGTTGAAGTGTTGAGTTTTTATATATATTTTCCAGCCCACTCGGATAATGAACGACTCTATTCAGTTTGTTCAGGTCGCAAGCATATGCCAATGTGTCGCAAGGTGCCGACGTGCAATTTCCATTCTGCAAGTGAAATTCCCATTGATTAGCAAGCGCAATTCACACGGAACAACTTCCATGGAAAAAAACAGCACAAAGTAACATACCGAGGGAAGAAAAACAGAGTTCAATACCACGAGGGCGACAGGACTAGAGGGTAAACGAGGGGAACCGTGTGAAGGGGGGAACATGAGGGCGACGGGACGCGAGGGTAAACATGGGGAGGGCGACGGGATGGGAGGTGAGAGAGGAAAGGAGACGGCAGGGTTGATTCAAGGCAGGCGCGAGGGCGACGGGAAGGGACGGGAGGGGAGAGCACGAAGGCGACGGGAAGGGACGGGAAGGGACGGGAAGGGACAGGAAGGGAGAACGCGAAGGCGAGGGGACGGTTTGAATAGCACGAGGGAGACGGGACGGGATGGGAGAGCACGAGGGCGACGGGAAGGCGTCGAGAAGGGACGGGAGGGGTGAGCGCGAAGGCGACGGGAAGGGACAGGAGGGGCGAGATAGCAAGGCGACGGGATGGAAAGGGAGAGATAGCAAGGTGACGGGATGGGAAGGGAGAGATAGCGAGGCGACGGGATGGGAAGGGAGAGATAGCAAGGCGACGGGATGGGAAGGGAGAGATAGCAAGGCGACGGGATGGGAAGGGAGAGATAGCAAGGCGACTGGATGGGACGGGAGAGATAGCAAGGCGACGGGATGGGAAGGGAGAGATGGCGAGGCGACGGGATGGGAAGGGAGAGATAGCAAGGCGACGGGATGGGAAGGGAGAGACATCAAGGCGACGGGATGGGAAGGGAGAGATAGCGAGGCGACGGGCAGCACGGGGATATAGCGAGGCGACGGGCAGCACAGGGGGTTAGCGAGGCGACGGGCAGCACGAGGAGATAGCGAGCCGACGGCGGCGAGGCGGACAACAGGGTAGTTGGGAAAATCGCGAAGGTGGTTGGAGGAGACGGGTAATGGTGACGGCGATGGGACGAACAGGGACATTGCAAGGACGACGGGAGGGCGATTGCGAGAGTGAACGCGAGGGTCGAGAGGGGGACGGGGAAACGACACGAGGGCGACGGGACGGCTACGGGACGACGACGGGACGGCGACAGGACGGACGACGGGATCGCGACGCGACGGTCATCGGGTCGGCGTCGGGACGGACGGGAGGGCGAGCGAGATGTGATGGGAAGGCGGCGAGAGGGCGTTCGAAACGAACCAAAGTACTACACAACCATGCCAGCTTCACTACGCGACTAAAACGAAACAACAACAGCCTAAGTTGGCGGTTCTAAAGCTAGACAAGCTAATATAAATAAGAAGCAGAGAAAAATGATCGGAAGAACTAGTTGTAGTTCACAAAGGCCCGACTTGAACTCCAAGCTGGGCCCAAAATCGCAAGGACGTGCGTGAGCGATCGCAGTGCTAGTGTCGAGCAGCTTCCCAAACAAATATGCGACGCCAGACGTGCTGTGTTGATTTCTTTGTTTTGGCGGGAACCAATCAGATGTGGTTTGGAGCCAAAACAAAGAAATCAACACAGCACGTCTGGCGTCTCATATTTGTTTGGGAAGCTGCTCGACACTAGCACTGCGATCGCTCACGCACGTCCTTGCGATTTTCGCATTTTGCAAAAACGCTCTCAATGAAACAGTGCAAACTTGTCGGTTTGGAGCCAAAATTGTTTCGCTCGGCAAGCCCTCTTTCAAGCTGGCCCCAGGTTCACTATTTGCATTTCGGTTTTAATTGTAACCTGCCCGACTCCGATAGTTTTTGCTTTCCCTTCGCCTAAAGGCCTCGGATACCCCTCTGCCCACCAGACGAAGTGTGCGACCCATGGATCAGGAGACATTGAACAAGATGCTAGCGCAAATGGCAGAGCTACAGGCAACAGTGCAGAGTCTCTCGGCAAAAGTGACAACACTACGTGTGGAAAACACCGAACTACGCCAGACCCGAGGTGAAGCGCGTCAGGAGTCGCCCGGCGAAGAAGGCGAGGGCAACAGTCAAGCGGTGAGCAACCCGTTGGACGAGCTCACACGTGACTTTGAAGAAGAAGATAGGCAACGAGCGGTAACGACGATCAAGATTAAACCCGTAAACCAGCCCCCGTTCAATCCTATAGACAAGACTACTACAGTGAAGGGGTGGCTCTTCGGCGTTGAAGTCTTCTTCACTGCAGCGAACGTCAAAGACGACGCCACGCGTATAAATTACGCGGTATCTCTTCTGCGAGGCGCAGCGCTTGAGTGGTGGCGCCGAACCTTGGACACGGGGACCCTGACACGTGTGACACATGCGGCAGACGTGACCTCAACATCGGCTAATCAAGTGGCAGAATCGATCTTCGGAGTGACCAAGATACGCACGTGGAAAGAGTGGGGCGCAGCCTTACGAGATCGCTTCGAGCACGTATCCGCCTCGAAGCAAGCTCGCATGAAGTTGCGTGCCTGGTCGCAGTTGGCATCTGTCCAAGACTACACATCGTCGTTCATGGGCCTCGCCGACCAAGTGGATGACATGTCGGAAGCAGAGCGGTTAGATAAATACGTCAGCAGCCACAAGTATGTAATTCAGTATGAGGTGCGCCGAGGCCGCCCAACATCATTCCTGGAAGCAGTACGGTTGGCGGAATCCACGGATGCACTGTTGCAGTACGCGATAACAACTTCCCGGGACGGAAACCGTTTTCGTGGCCAGACTCAACGGACCACAATCAACGTAGTCCATACACCCAGCTGCCGTCCTAAGGGACCGTGCTACCGGTGTGGGAAGACGGGTCACTACATGCACGACTGCCCCGAGAAAACGCCGGCGAAAGGGGACGACAGGAAGGAGCAGGGAAACGGGAAGAGTCAGTAATTGGCGGGGCCTTTACTGACTGTGCTCCGTCGCCCGAACACCACCATCCCCACCAAGTCGTGGTTCCGATTCATGCAATCGACCGCACTCGGCCGAATAACGGGGATAATAATGTAGATCACCCTTTGCTGGTCGCTGGTGAAGTGTTAAAAAATCATATGAAAATGTTCGTCGACGGAGGGGCCAGCCATAGCCTCTTCAACTGGGCGACAGCAAAAAAATGCAAGCTGCAACTTGACAGGTGTCTGCCCAAAATTGACGCTCGCCTCGTGGATGGGACGCCTCTGGCGATTTTGGAGGAAACAAGGATGGTACGGATCGAATTCGGCGACGATTTCGGCTTCAGCATGAAGTTTCTCGCGACGACGCTGGACGGCTACGACGTGCTGCTGGGACGTGATTGGCTGCGACGACACAACCCCGTCATCGACTGGACAACGGGATCGTGCAGCATCAACAAGCACGAGGGGCTAATTACGTTGCTTGCATGGACACCTGACTACATCCAAGCCCCGTGCGTCAAAGTTGTTACTATAGCTTGCCACTTCAATCGAGGCGCACAGATGTTCGCCGTTTGCTTACGCGAGTTGGCAGTTGACACCGACGGAAAGGACATCGAGAAGCTGTGCGCAGCTGTACCACCGGATTTAGCGGAGCTGATTCGACAGTACCCGGACATCTTCCCCGACGATCTGCCACCTGGACTACCACCCGAGAGACCCGAGGACCATAAAATCCAGCTGGAACCTGACGCGCATCCGACTGTTCGGACACAGTGGCGGTTGATCCAGCCTGAACTCGAGGAGCTGCGAAGCCAAATCAAAGCACTATTGGAGAAGGGTTTTATCCGTCCCAGTACATCTCCCTTCGCAGCACCGATCCTGTTCACACCGAAGAAAGACGGCGGGCTTCGCATGTGCACCGACTATCGCGCGCTCAACCGGGTGACCATCAAGTCTCGCTACCCAATCCCACGCACCGACGACCTTCTTGACCAACTTCGCGGCGCTCACTATTTTTCGAAGATCTATTTACGTGGCGGTTACCATCAGATTCGGGTCTTCGCAGAAGATTGCCACAAGACCGCGTTCCGAACCTGCTACAGGAGCTACGAATTTACGGTGATGCCTTTCGGCCTCACAAACGTGCCTTCGACTTTCCAACTGACCATGAACAGGGTATTCCGAGATCTGCTCGACAAATCTGTTATCGTCTACTTGGACGATATCCTGAAATTTAGTAGGACAAGGGAACAACACCTCTGCGACCTTGACGCGGTGTTTAAACGGCTACAGGAGAACCGACTCATCACCAAGGGCTCTAAATGCGAGTTTTTTCAGCATGAGTTGGAGTTTTTGGGGCACGTCATCTCCCGCGACGGCATTAAAATCGACCCGGCGAAAATCAAGACCATACAGGAGTGGAAGTCCCTGACTTATATCACGGACCTGCAAAGTTTTCTGGGGTTCGTGAATTATGTCAGGTGGCTTATCTCGAATATGGCGGGGATAATCGGCCCGTTAACCGACCTGCTGCACAAGGACAGGAATTTTGTGTGAGGGGAGGAGGCAGAGGCGGCTTTTCAGGAGTTGAAGAATTTTCTGGTTTCCCTTCCGGTCCTGCGCATCGCCGACCCATCGAAGCCGTTCGAAGTCATCACCGACGCCTCAGATTTCGCCATCGGAGCTGTACTCCTCCAGGATTTCGGGAACGGGCTGCAGCCGATCGCCTACGAATCACGCAAGCTGCAGTCAGCCGAGCGCAACTACCCGATACACGGCAAGGAGATGCTCGCAATTATACACGCGTTCAAACGGTGGCGTTGCTACTTGGCGGGCGCCGATGTCACTGTTCGCACGGACCACAAGTCCCTACAGTACCTGCGAGCTCAGCCCAACCTCAACCCGCGTCAAGTTCGTTGGCTCGATTACATGGAGAGCCACTTCACCTACCGCATCACGTACAAGAAAGGGGCGAATAACATCACCGACGCCCTTACCCGACCGGCAGTTCAATCCGCTGCAGTACTCATCACCCAGTCAAACCCGCTACTTACGGGACTATTCACCCACGGCTACACTACGGACCCGTTCTTCACGACTAGAAATCATTAGCAGGCCACGACGCAGAAGGGGAAATACTACCTAAAAGCCGGAACTGACCGGATTTGGGTTCCCGCTTACCGGCTGCTGCGTGAACTCTTTATCCAAGAGGTCCACGATTCCAACTTCTCCTCACATTTCGGGGTTGATAAAACCCAGAAATTATTGCACCGTCAATATTATTGGCCCGACTCCTCTAACGACGTGCAGCGATATGTGTCCTCATGCAGGGTGTGCCAAGCCATGAAATCGACACGTCAACGGCCAGCTGGATTGCTGCAACCCCTCGAGCCACCAGAACGACTGTGGCAACAAGTGACGATGGATTTCATCACAGGGCTGCCAGCTGGGCCGTCCGGCAACGACGCTGCTCTCGTCGTCGTCGACCGCCTCACGAAAATGGCGCATTTCGCACAGTGTCATACAACAATCATAGTTGAAGAAACTGCGCGCCTCTTCATCTCAACCGTCGTGCGACTGCACGGAATCCCCTCGGCGATCGTCAGCGACAGGGATCCGAAGTTCACGTCAAAGTTCTGGAAGGAAACGTGGGCGCAGTACGGCACAAAACTACAGTTTTCGTCAGCATACCACCCGCAAACGGACGGCCAGACCGAGAGAACCAATCAGACAATGGATCAGCTAATCAGGACAAATTGCCCCGACCCCGCTCGCTGGGAAACCTTGCTCGCCATGGTGGAATTCGCTTTCAACAACGCCCAGTCCAGCACGACTAATCACTCTCTGTTCTTCTTGAATTACGGGATGGACCTGGTGGTTCCTACAACGACTACACTCGACAACTCGGTCTCAAGGTCATAGACCTTCGTGACAGAACTCCAGGAGACTCGTGAAAAGGCATCTGATGCAATTCGCAAGGCGATACAACTGCCCGGAAGTACAGCGATCTTCTGCGACGGGATTACGGCTGGGCAACAAGTGCTGCTCGACACGATGAACCTTTGCCTACACGGCTCGTCGAAATTACGGCCACGTTTTTTTGGACCCTTCAAGATCATACAGATGGTGACACCT